AAACACATCGACATTAAGTTCCTAGTTGTTAAGAAAAGAGTACAGAGTGGACAAATTTCCATAGAACAATTAGGGACAACCTCCATGATAGCAGATCCTCTAACTAAAGGACTTCCGCCCAAAGTCTTTCATGAGCATGTTGCTCACATGGGTGTTTTTCAATTTGAGGAATTTGTGGTTTAGTGGGAGTTAGTAATTTTCATATATTTTATGTTCTATGTTTAATTTCATGTATGTATACATTAATTTTTTGGACATATTTAGTTTTCTATAAATATGCGGTTTTTTGTTCATTCATTACACTTTGTACATTAAGGTTATTATATCGATCTCGATAAGTTAAAGTTTGGACCAGTTGAAAATAGACGTGTACATATCACCTTCACGTAATTTTTCATGCTACACATTTCATGATGAATCCATATCATTTGGTTATGTTATGATTAATAATCATTGTTGGTTTTAGTTGCGATGATGCAATGAAAAACTGGTTTGGTTCTATATCCTGATATGATCAATGGACGGGACTTTTGGAGTATGATAAAAGAATATAATGACAATTTTGAGCTCATAAAGTCTAACACATTTGTAAGGTTGTAAGGACGTATATATTTGTGACCAGTGGGAGATTGTTGGCAAATTTTTGGTCATGTATATATATGATACATAATTTAAATGTGTTAAGGTCATTATTTATCAAGCCAAATAATAAAGTGATCTGACTAAATTAAAATTTTGGCTAAAGGCATATGTCATGAAAATAAAATTGTGTAGAGACCATAGAGTAATTTTTAATTTGATAAGGGACCAAATTAGAAATATTAAAACTTAAGTAATTAACTTAATTCTAATTATTTAAAGGGTCATGGTCCCTTTCTGAGAGCACACACAGAACGTAAGTCTCAGTTCTCGTTCCTTTCTTTCTATCCCCATCAAGAGAGAAAATTCAGAGGGAAAATAAAAGTGTTCTTCAGGTGAAAGACCATAAGATCAATAATGCTCTAAAAGGGACATCATTATGGCTAATTCAAGTACGCTTCCGCATTCAGTCTACAACATGTTTATGAGTATGAGATAATGTTTATATTTGATCGTTAGAATCAAAATCAAGATCATAATTATTAGTTTTCTAACACTAGAAGGGTGTTTGAATAATTAGTACAAAATACGGTCCTTTATGGCTTTCGAGAATTGATTATGCATTAACTGGTCAATAATAAAATTTATTTAGTCCAAGATTGATTCTCATAAATAATTGATTTTCCATTTGTACCCGTCCAAGAATTTCATTGAATCAATTAATAGATAATCAATCTTGTGGACATCAAGAATCGGTTCTCTTCATCTATAATCAATTCTCCATCAACACACATGTCACGCATAAACAACACCTAGTCTCACTATAAGAACTACTAATGTACTCATCCTCACACACAAACGATAAAATTACATAACCACGAGTACCTCCTCTCACATATTTAATGGCGAATTCAAACTTCATAAGATGACGAGTAATGTACTTAGCATGTGTTTCAGTAAGCTTATTTGAGACGATTCCCTACTATGAAAGGTGTTAGGATCGAGCGCTTACCACTAGGCAAAAAACTATAGTTATTAGTCAGAGTGCAACTCTTTTTACTTAAGAGTAACAACCCAAGCGCCACGATTCGATTATGACTTGGCCCACTCAGCCTCTACCACGAGACAATTGATGCTACCTGCAATAATCTCCCCCTTAACAATTGTACACCAAGAATTGAACTCATAACCTTGGCTCTGATACCAATTGTTAGGATCGAACGTTTACCACTAGGCCAAAAGCTACAGCCATTAGTCAAAGCGCAACTCTTTTTACTTAAGAGTAACAGCCCAAGCGTCACGATTCAATTGTGACTCGGCTCACTCGGCCTCTGCCACGGGACAATTGATACTACCTGCAACAATCTCCCCCTTAGTAATTGTCTTGCGAGGAATCCTACTTGGATTGTGACTTAGCTCACTTGGCCTTCGTCACCGATTGTGACTTGGCTAATCTGCCTTAACTACGGGACAATTTTGCAACCTACAATAAAAGGAAGGTCATGTAAAGCAAAATTGTGGTTCACATGAATGGATTCCCTACCAGCAATTGTTTCGGGATGTTATGCATAATGGTTCACATGAGCCAGATTCATCATCAGATTCTATCTGAGTTTGAGAATCAACTGATTCAACACTCATGTTTTCAGACCCTAAGGTTTCTAAGGGTTCTGAGATTTCAGATAAATTATCCTCTTCATCTGGATAAAATTCATCTAAAAATCCGTTTATAATGTCATCAAAAGATACATTATCTATTGTTTCTTTTACATATCCTATCATAGGACTGTTTTCGTTTTTAGGGATAGTAAAAATACTATTCCTATTTTCCTCTGACCTATCTTGTTCTAGGTCTAGGACCGAGGGTTTAAGTATCGTGGTGTGAACCCTTACTAACAGCTATAACTTTTAGCTAAGTGGCTAACGCTGCGCGCTCATCCTTTGGTATCAGAGCGAGGACGCGCACTCGATTCCTGCCGAGGACGGAATTGGGGCAGCGGGTGGTAAGTCCCCACGAGATTCCCGAAGAGCGGGGGAATCAGAGTGGCGGAATCGTGGTGGGACCGAGGGTTTAAGTATCGTGGTGTGAACCCTTACTAACAGCTATAGCTTTTAGCTAAGTGGCTAACGCTGCGCGCTCATCCTTGAATAGGAGTAAGAACGTAAATACAACATTGTAACTTGTATTTCTTGCTTTTCTTCTTGTTGTAACAAGTATACTTCATCAACTCTCTTTCTTAAATCAACCCTCGCAAATCTCCTTAAACGGGTGGATCTAAAGAAAACTCATTCTTGCTCTTCCGTGTGTGCGTGAAAAGGAATCAACTGATCAAATACAATTTAAATGATACCATCCAAAGAAACTCATCCTTGCTCTCTCATGTTGTCTTTCATTGAATATTTTTTTATTTATTTAAAAAAATACTTAGTTTATTTTATAAACTATTTCAAATATTATTTATTTATTATGAAAAAATAAATAAACCACATGTAAAACTAATTCAATATAAATAATTTTAAAGATATAGTTTTTTAGATATATGAGATTCTTATACAATACAAAAATATTTATTTTACACGTATATTACGAATATTTTAAATAATTCTCTTCATATGAGTTAAATAATTTATTTTAAACCAGTAAAACATTTTCATGGTGTCTCTTCAAAATTAGAAGGATTTATGTATGTCATATAAAAATTATTAAAATAAATAAAATAAAATAAAAATCTATTTAATATTATATAATTTTCATAAGTTTTTCATATTAAAATTAAAAAAAAATAAAAATAAAAATATATTCTCTTTGTTACATATTATATCATTCACTCTTAAATATTGATTCTTTTGAAAAAAATTTACTAAGACATTAAAAATGAGTGCAACTTACAAGAGGGGAATGATATCCTTCTTATTACAAAATCTTAATAAATTGGGTTATGTGTCTTTATTTTTTATATTATTTAACTTTTTCATGTGTATATTTGAATTTTCAACACTATTTCCATTAAAATTGTTTTAAACATAAAAAACTATAAAGTGTAAATGAAAGGAAACAACCTAACATTTATTTATACATTGAGAAGTGAAATTAAACTTTTTAGAGATAAAACCTAACCCAAAATTTATATATTGAAAAGTGAAATTAACCTTTTAAAGATAAAAATTAATTCATTTACTTTTATCATTTTAATTTTTATCATTATAACATTATTTTTTATAATTATTTATTATCTCTATTTTTATCTCACAACTCAACTTATTTTATTTTTTTATAAAAATATTTTTATTTTACTATTTAAATATAATTAAATAATTTAATTAAACCGACTAAATAATTATATCATATTTAAAAAAAAACGTTACACTTACTCATGAGAATAATTTATTTCATATTATATTGGATTTTGAAATTAGTATTGAAACTATACATATTCCTATTTATTCTTATATATTTTCTTTTTTGTATTTTGAATTTTGCTATTTTGTAAAATATTGTCAATATTTTAGTGTTTAAAATATTTTCATGATTAGAAATTGTAATCATAATATAATTTATATATTCAATATATTAATTCATTATAAATTAGTTTATAAAAAGATATTACCTTTCTTACAATTAAAACAGTAAATTTGCCACACAAAAAAAGTTATTACACTAATTAATATAATTTACATATTTTTAAATATTTATTTGTTATAAATATTAATTATAATATAATTCATATATTTTAAAATATGTGTTGTTTTTTTATAAATTTTTTAAGGTAAATTATGAATTTTCATTTTTCAAAATATCTATGTTTTAATATTATTTTGTAAAATAAATTTGTTTTTTTAGTCTTGAATTTAAAAATATGTTTTCTTCTCCAAAGATCCCGATTGTGTTTTATTTAAAGATAACAAGTAATTTGGAGAGTTAATGAAAAATAAAAATAATTTATATTTTCAAGTTTAAGATTTTAAAAATGATAATTTTTTAACTATTAAAACAACTTTTTCATTTAAAATTTGAAGAGAAATCAAAATCATATTTTTAAGAATAGTGATATTTTGACAATAAAAAATTATATAATTTTTTAAATAATTTATTTTTATTAATATAATAATCAAAAATTATATAATCCTTTAAATAATTCACTTTTATTAATATAATAATTTATAGAATAATTAAATAAAAGTAAAAATAAAATAAAATTATTATTATAATATTAAAAGAGAATTATTTATACAAATGGTACGAATTTGAGTTTTAAAAGTATCATTCTCCTATTTTTAACTAGATTTTATCGTAGGAAACAAAAATATTAAATTCAGTGAGAAGTGTCGCTTGTTGGTAGCGGGTGTTGAAGGGTTGAAACGTTACGTTTGAACTCTTCGTTGCATTCGCATACGATCCGTTACCGCTAACAGTAACAACGATGGAGGATTCGAAACCACAACGGCAGCGGAAGAAAAACTACCGAAAGAGAAGCGCTCCAACAGAAGAAGATCAACTTACTCAATCTCAGAACAACAATGAATCCGACGACGAACGAGAAAGAAGGTTTAGGTCTTATTTCAATTCCACATTTCTTACACGGAATTTTATGTTAGGGTTTTGATTTCACCGATGCTATTACGCTGTACAGAATGGCATTGGAGGAAATCAAGCTTCTCCAGAAGCAGCGGGAAAGGAAATCGGGAATTCCAGCAAACCCTAGCTTGCAAGCACAGAGTATAACCGGCGGCGGTTTGGCTGCTAAAGCCGCCGAAAAGAACGACGGTGATGGCGGCGACAAGGACGAGTTCGTTCTTCAAGATACCTTCGCTCAAGAGACCGCTGTTATGGTTGAAGACCCCAATATGTGTGTGTAATTTATATAATGTCGTGTTTGTGCTGAGGCTTTTGAATTTGGATGTGGTTGTTGATGTTGGTGCTACTTGTTTGTTGATCAGGGTGAAATATGTTGAGCACGAGTTAGCGAAGAAGAGGGGAAGGAAAGTTGATGCTGCAGATCAAGTTGAGAATGAGCTGAAACGTGCAGAAGATGAACTTTATAAGATTCCTGAGCATCTTAAAGTGAGTGATCCCTCTTTTGTTTTTCTTTCTAGTTTATAGCACCTGATGACATAAGGTTATTAATGATTTGTGTCGCAGTTACTGTCTGATTCATTCTGATCTTCTAATATGTATTGCCTTTTGTTGGATTCATTCTTCTTTTAAAAATGTCGTGCCCTGTCAGGTAAAAAGGCGAAATTCAGAAGAAAGCTCTACTCAGTGGACTACTGGTATTGCTGAGGTTCAGCTTCCAATCGAGTATGCTTTCTTGTATTTGCGATGGGCTGTATTTGAAGTTTGAATTATTTGTTGAATAAGTATTTAATAATTGAGTGTATCTTTTTTTTCCATATTTTTCTTTCAAGTTAATCATAGGCTGTATGCTATTCGTTTGGGGGGATAAATTGATCTGCAGTATGTTAAACGAGTTAAAACAAGACAAACATGTAAATTTTATTGAATGTTTGGTGCATTTTAATCATAAATTATTATAGGACATGGGAGTTAGAGAATGGTACTTGTTTTGTTTCTCTGAAAGGGGTGGAACCAAGGACGACATAACATTCTGTCTTGTCTGCACATCAAATACTAACTTAGTGCCTACACTTGGAAACAAACAACCAAATTTCAAGGACATTCGCTTTTATACTGAAGCTTATTATTTTCAATTTTTATATTCAAAATTACTCATCTTGTCCTTGCCTCCTTGGTTGATTGCTTTTTAAGGGTTAAATTTTTTCTACTTTTTCTTATATGTTGTGAATTTGCGAGCACTTGATGATTCTTGTGTATTGTATAATTTTTTTTTATCTATTATTGAGGGAATAAATGGTGAAGTTTTCTGACGGATTTGACTTTGCATTTATACTTTTTTTTCCCTGTCAAGTTAAATTATGTAGTCTGTGAGTATTTTTAGTACCCATGGTTGGAAACAACCAACCAAATTTTATGAACTTTGGTTTTCCAGCTGAAGGTGCTTTCGTTCAATGATTAATATTCACAATATTAAGTTCTTCCTTGGTTCATTGCTTTTCAACTGTAATAGTTCTCTTATATGTTGCATGTACTTGTGGTCAATCTATTTATGGAGGAAGAAAAAGGATGATGTGTCTTAATGGTTTGATTTCATGTTTGCAGATATAAACTAAAAAATATTGAAGAGACAGAGGCTGCCAAAAAGCTTCTACAAGAAAAGAGGCTTATGGGTCGGACAAAATCAGATTTCAGCATTCCATCGAGTTATAGTGCTGATTATTTCCAGCGTGGCAGGGATTATGCTGAAAAACTTAGAAGAGGTTCATTTCCTTTATTCTATTATTTTAGAGTACACATGAATGCTTGCTTGTTTACTGTGTCATTGTCAGGCTTGATATACTTATCAATGTATTCATCTTGTGGCATTTGCCATTGTAGTTAGAGGTCTGACTTTTTTTTTTTTAATTGTTTTAAAGAAATCTGTACTCTGATTACTGACTAGAAAGCTCCTAATTTGCAGAACATCCAGAGTTGTACAAAGATAGAAGTTTACAGGATGATAGTTCTGGGTCCAAACAAAATGATTCGAGCACTGATGCCACTGGAGCGGTACAGAGGCAGGCTGCAACAGATGAATTCATGTTAGAGCGCTTCAGGAAAAGAGAACGTCACCGTGTAATGCGAAGATGACATAAATGCTATATTTGTGGCATACTTTGCAACAGTCTATCAAAGATTGGCGGACGTCCAGCTTCTGTTGATTGGGATCCCAATGCCATTGATTTGCACCAGTTTCTTAGTTCAAACTGTGACCAAAGATCATAGGGCTGCTTGAGCATTAATTCTGTTGGTTCTCTTCTTTTTAAGAACAAAAAATATATTAATTTTAGTCATTGCCGGCGGCCTGTCTAACTATTCAGTGGCATATGTTGAGAGGCAGCAATAGAATTGTGATTATCAGCGCTTCTTTGAATGAATGTATTATAATGACTTCTAAAATATTTATTCTTTCCATTGAAATTTTTCCTGCTACGTTTGTAATGGCAGAGTGCTTGTACGATTTGGTGCTAACCGCCGTTTGTGTCCATCAAAATCACTTGTATAGAAGCTAATTTTTGTAGTTTGCTTACGATTTTAGATTCTCTCATCTTCAGTTAGATTCTCTTCTTAGAATTTGATTAAAACTGATTGAGACCATATGAAAAATTTTAGCTATTAGTAGAATTAGTCGTAACATATCGAAAGACTACTTGGTTTAAAATAATTGGTTATTTTGCCTTTATTGCCAGGTGAACCATTAGTTAGTGGCTCAATGCAAACGTAGTAAGTAGGCATGTTCAGATTAAAAAGTTCTTTTTTTTTTGGCTGAAAGAAAAGCAGTTAGTATATAGAATGATGATCTACTTTGTGTGGGTGTTTTTACCAGCGTATTTGAACTACAAGCCTTTGAAGGGATGTTAGTACCGAGTAATTAGTCTTCATTCTCTTAGAAAGACGAGTACTACAAGGTACGTAGATAATTTTACAAGATATATTATAAGTAAAAGCTGCCTTTTTCCTTTGTCCATTCATTGCAAACTTCAAGTGTATAACTAGACCCACTTATTTAGGCTTAACATATTTTCCCAAGTTTAAAGAAAGAAAAGAAAAACCATTCCCCAAGTTGGTGGGGCTTCATCGGGAAATGCTAAACTTTCGTAGTGACAATCCCTTGGAAAGCATGTACAAATATAACATACATACCTTGGATAAAGCAATCAGAAATTGGATGTAATTATAAAAAAGATGAGGCGGAAGAATACTGCATAAAATTTGTATGTATTCATCCATTCAGAACTGAACCTTGCTGATGAAAGACTGGCCAAATATCCAAGTGGACGGTGCCACATCATAAGCTGTGAGAGTCTTTCCATTGCTGAGTTGGACTCTGAAGGACAAGCTCTGGCCGTTGAGGTAGCTTAAGCTTTGCCAGTTAGCACCCCAATTCCTTGACATAGATTCCCAGTTACTCATTTTGGAACCTTTGATCCAAACTAGAGAGATATCCCCTGCTCCTCCTACATTGCTTATAAGCACCAGTTCGAAATAGTCCTTCCCATTGATGGTAAATCTGATGCCTCCACTTCTTTTGCACCCAACTCTGCATCAAATTTGAACATGTGCAAGTTGAAATAATTTAACTTTCTACAAATAAAAGAACACATAGTTAGAATATGACATAACACAATATAACATACCTTCTGTAAAATATTGGGACAATTCCAGCTCTGTATTTGGCAATCATCTCAAAGGCAGGTTGAGACAAGTCAAAGTGTGGTCTAGGAGGATTACACCAACCCCCATTGTCACTAGGTAGTGCATAGTTTGGAGGGCAGAAATTTGTAGCAGTGATTGTGATGGAAGTGCCCCTGAGGCACCACTGGGGCACTTGGCCTGCGTCACAAACTATCTGATAGCAACCACCACATGACTTGCCATCATTAAACAAAGCAGTACTCAAAGCAGCTGTTTTTACTCCATAACCATCCGTGTTGAGATTTCCATAGCCACATGCCCCACCTATACAAGTACAAACAAGCTACTTTCATATCATGTAGAATTAATTGCTCTTATTTTGCACTTAAATTTGAATTGAAGAGTGCTTTAATGAACTAAAAGACATAATGTACAAAACTTTTTACCCATTGTTCCTGAGGCATCACTTCCACCATAGAAAGTTGCATGAGCTTGCAACCAACCTGCGGATGCTACTCTATGTTCTGTGGTGAATAGCCCCACAAGTAGTATTAGACCACTGAAAACTAGTTTTTCCATCTCCTCTTTCTCTCTTTATCCGTGTATGATTCTGAACAAGAACTTTCTTAATCTGCTGCTTAAGATGAAAAACTCTTACGAGGTATTTATAACTGCTGATAGGGACGTTTGGCCCTTAGAAAAAATTGACTCAAACTCAACTTCGCATTATCGAACAAAAAAGGTGCTGTTGACCCAAAAAATTGCTCTCTTATTATAAAAAGAATTAGTTAGTAATGCACGCATTAGAAAAAATAGAAGGCAATTCGGTGGGTGTGAACAAGACTCAACCCATCAAAATTATACACAACGATATATGCTAATTGCTAAAGACGCCGTCTTGAGGTTAATATTAATATTCATCTTATATTTTCTCCATATGATTGTTTAGCCTCAATGTGAAGTGAAAGAACATGCTTTGTTGGTCATATGATCCGTGGTACGTAAGTGGTACAGTCAAATACAATTTGCAGCGCAACTTGCTTCAAAGCAAATCCTGCATAATATAATTAATTACTTTTGAGTATTGTCAGAATGTTACACTATCTTGATGCCAAACTAATTAACAAACTGATAGAAGATTCGTCTCCTCCTACACTGTGAAAAGACCAACTATTTTACATAATTTTTTATGGTTTTAATATTATTTGACTACAGATTCAATCACTTGAATCAATTAAATCACATTGAACAAGGATAGATCTTTAATTAAGGGAGGATTTTACAATAAGTTCTTTTAAGATACATATCTCAAGCTCAAGCAATTTCTGCTACCCTTGTGCTCTTATGTATTGAAAATGTTGTTTGTTACAACGGGTTAATGGTGATTCTTGTTAATTTTTTTGAAATTTTAATCAATATGTTTAAAGAATGTGAGTTATTCTCAGTTGGTGTGAGTTACTTGTCAATGCTGATGTTAGAAAAGAGAATGGCAACATATCTTTCCAAGCATTTTCCAATACACTGCTTATTATCACATAAGCATACTAAATAAAATAAATCTCACTATGTTAATCACATTCCCTATTTAACAAGTCTCATATGAATACTATTTAGTAATAGAAAACATCTTAAAAATGCATAACTATTTCTTGTATGATACAAAGTCAATTCCTACACGCAAGAGGATGGAAGAAAACATGAGCATAAACGTTTGCTTTAATGGTAGTAGTAACATGCAATGCCTTAGTATGTGCTTTGGCCTCAACTTGTTTATCTAGAATGGAAACATTTTATACTGCAACCACTAAAGAAGTTTTGACTGTCATAATAAGTCAGCTATGAAAATGGTGATGAATTTAAGGCATATATTGTGCCTTGTGTGGTGGATCTATGCCCATATGGCACATGGTTGATGCCATTCCAAATGACTGCTTAACATATGGCCATTGCTCAATGTGAACTACATATATGTTCTCCCTTTATGGAATTTAAAATCTTTTTCAAACAAAAAAATAAAAGCTACAAACTTTTAAAGATGAGTTTTTTTTTCTATGTATCTGGTCAGAAAAGTTTTTATTATTATTATTATTATTATTATTATTATTATTATTATTATTATTATTATTATTATTATTATTATTATTATTATTGAGTAATTTCTAAAAAAGAAAATAGTTTATGAACCATAAAATATACAAGTATGATATATTTAATCATTCTTTTTCTTAAAATTAAATTAGTTTAGTATATAATTTTTCTTGGAAAAGAAACTAAGGAGATTTTCGTATTACCTATTTTAATTCTTGATATATAACTTATATATTTACTATATTCTTCGCTATTTTAAGTAAAAATATGACATTATTTAATTAATATGTAACCCTCTTATTATAAGATGTTTATCTAAAGTTATGACTATGCCTAGATACCTTAACAATAATTATTCTGCGAGCTTATAAAACTATATATTAATATTCCATATCAATATCTATTTTCAATAACATTTTTTAATTAAAACAATATATTAAAACAAATGGAATCATTTACAAATTTTATATCAAGAAAATATCTATCATAACAAATAAATGAAAATAAAAAAGAGGTTTATATATGCTTTAAATATTTTAATTATACAAATTTAACTTTTTAGTCCATATAATTTATTCTTTCTTAGTAATTTTCAAATCTCTTGTTTTAAGTATTTGTAATTACCCTATTTTACAAATATTTTAAAGTGATTAAAAAAAACAAAAAAGTAGAAACTATAAATATAATTAATATTTTTGAAATTGGATTATTATTAAATTAATAAAGATATAAATTTAGAATTCAAAGATTTAATAAAATAATAATTTTATAATATAATAAATGAATATTTTTTATCAGTCCGTTATAAGAAAAATTATAAATATAAAATATAGATAAAAAATAAAATAAGATGAAAATATAATAATTAATATGAGATAAAAAATTTGAAACCAATTATATCTTTTATAAAAGTTATATTTTAAAAAAATTATCTTCAATTAAAAAATTCAACCAATTTTTTAAAATTTATATCAATTCAATTAAAATTTATTTATTTATTTATAAAGATGGATTCTCAGAGAAGTTGAACAGTCTGTTCAGCTTAATTGTCAAAATAGTGATGTAATTTCGTACAGAGTTCAAAATAGATTAAAATAATTAAAAAAAAACATAAACAACAAAATAAGAGGTAAATAATATATTCGAATCATGCTAAATCTTAGAAAAGAATGTACTCACATGTCACTACTGTGTCATTGATTATTGTATCTTATCACAATAAATTAAAAAAAAATAATATATATGTGAAGAAGTTAATTTTTTATAAATATATTGTATCTTATCACAAATAATAATATAATATATTGTATCTTAAAATATAATTTTTATTTACATATAAACTAATTTGAACGTGTGAAGAAGTTAAATTCATTTTTTTCTTTTTTTTATCTCTTAAATAAGAAGTTTCTTTCAAATATGTTATTATATATATATTTTTTTAATATCATGATATAATTCACTAATTTCAACCAAACCAATTAGTGGACTTACTTAGAATTAAGTGAAAGTAATTAAGAAAATATATTAATAATTTAGTTTCTTTTAAGGAGTTCTAAATAAAAAGAAGTCAATCTACATTGAAATTATGTTACATAATATGAATTTAATTTAAAAGTCACCTACCTTGCAACTTCTTTTAGATTAAAATTGAACTAGTATTAAATTTGAAATCGTACTATAACACTTAAAAAAAATTAGACTAATAATAAGTAAGTCATAAATCTAATATACAAAATTAATGAAATAAAAAAATAAAAATTATTATATTAAATAATCACATTTTATGATTTTTTTTCTTGGTTCAACCTTACAACAGTACACACACTAAGCAGGTAAAATGGAAAACTCTGATCTTGTTGCTTAACCTATTTGAATTCTTATTTATTATTAACAATGAAAAAAGTAATGGAAGAGATTATAAAGAAGTAAAGGTGTGAGTGAAGATTTAGGAAAGAATGAAGTTATAAATTAATTATTTGTATGTGTTTTTTTGCAAAAGTATTTTTATTTTTCTTTATTAGGTGTGTTTAAAAAAAGAAAAAAAAATAATGTACATGATACATGAGAAAATATAAATTGTTTTTTTTAAATTAAAACTTTAAAGTGATAAAATATAAAAAAATATCTAAAATCCAAGATGTTTATATTATCTTCAAATTAATATAACTAAGATTCAAGCCATTGTTTCAGTCAATATGCAACTTTGTCATATTTTTTTTAAATTTTGTTAATGAGAGATATATAAGGAGAAAATATACTTAATGTAACCTTAAATAAGGATAAATATATTTTAAAAAGAAATCATAATTTCAATAATTTTAAATTTGAATAAAAAGAGTAATCAAGTTCCTAAATTCTTTTTAAATTTACATATAGGAAATTATAATTTGTTTTTTTCCTACAAATTTTATTTCATTTCCCATTTGATCCTTCACTTTTACTTATTTGCAAGTCATATTCTAAAATTTAAGTTTATCCTATTTATTTACTCTTGAACTTAACTCTTTTTTTAGCACTTTTATTTTATTTTAAACTTATAAAAAAAATTAACAATTTATCTAATTTTTAAAATCTAATAACTTAGTAATATTATTTTACAAAACGTTTTTACAAGCATTAAAATATAATAAAAAAATAGAATTAAAATAAATAACTATTTTATATTATTTTTATTAACTATTTTTCTCAATTATTATTTTCATTATACTTTAATTTATGAAAAACTTTTAATAAAAAGAAAAAAAAATAATGAACAATTGGGAGTTAGCAAATAATTTATCTAATATATATAGAAATAATTGTTTGTAAAAAGTAATAATCTTAAACGATCAATTAAATTGAAATAAAAGTTCTAAATGTTATAAAAAAAAATAATGAAATTGAAGGATACAAAATAAAGTTTATAAAAAAAAAAAATTAAGCAGGAGATGATATTAACCTTTATAATATGTACATGTAAAAGGTAAAGTTTAGAGATGGAGTATTTTGTTTTCTATATTTTAAAATTCTATCAAATAAAAGTGAAAATATATTATAACATTTTCTTTTATTTTGGGTACTTATAATTTTTAGGTTTAATAAAAATTTTCATAATTTTTACATAAATTTATTTTATTATTAGTTTTATTGTTAATTTAATTCAATTATTTAAAAATAATTTCAATATTATTTTTTCAAATTTTTTATAAAATATTACAACATAAGTTAATTATATTTACTGATTATATATATATATATATATATATATATATATATATAATTGACATTATCCATCTAACATTACATTTTGATCAAAGATATAAAATAAATTTTAAATAATTAACATGTATAGAAAAAATTATTTAATCTAATTTTTATTACTAAATCACATTATTATATATATATATATATATATATATATATTACAGCATGTAGCATTGCTTATTGTTGTTTCTTTTTGGATGATATATTATATTTTTTTTGCTACTGATTTTGGTTGGTTACACTGTCTTCACTGCAGCGTGCGTAATCGCTAGGGTTTTGAGTTTTGCCTGTTCAGAAAACATGACGACTGTGGTGCCAACATCCGAAGAAGACGCTGCATTCTCCGTTCGATTCGCCTCTGAACTTGCCTGGGATGATGCAGGTCCCAAGGTAACTTTCTTCTGATCTCTTCGCGCTCTCTTTCAGTTTTCCCAGCACTTCTTCTTTGTCCCTTTTTTGTTTTTGGATGTTATAGGGAATTGTTCTGTTACAATGCTTTTTTTATTGGATGTTATAGGGAATTGTTAGGAACATGATGGTCTGTTTACAATGCCCTGTATATATGCCTAGTTAAAATACTTGTGGAACTTAGAATGGTCTGGGTTTGTAAAACTCAGTGACTTTAGATAGAATACTCAAATTTTGGTATTGTTCCCTGGGCCTCGTTCTGCATCCTTATTTTTGTTGTAAGAATTTTCAGATGCACAGTGCTGTTCAGAAGATGAAAGGGCGGGAATGACATTTTACCTGTTCGTTTGATAGGTTGGATAAAAGAGAGATTGAATAATATATATATATATATATATATATATATATATATATATATATATATATATATATATATATGGATGATTACTTTGATTAATATCAATTAATTTTATGTGTAAAATCTGATATAATATTATACTGTGTTTTTTTTTCCAAATTAATTATTTTAGTATGTATATTATTGAAAAAGAAATTAGGAAAAATACTGTATTATTTATACTTATATATTTATTATCTGGTATTAACCAAGTAAAAACATGACATTATTTATTTAATATATAACTCTTATTATTAAAGGTTTATTTAAAGTTATAAACATGTTTAGATACTTTAATAATAATTAGTCCGGGAGTCAATTATTTTAAAAAGTATATATTAGTATTTCATAATTATATCTATTTTCACTAATTTTTTTATTAAAAAAATCTTCAAACAAATTTAATTCTATAGAAATTTTATATCCAGAATTTTTCTTTCATAAAAATAAATTAAATAAATCAAAAGCTTATATATGTTTTAAATATTGTGCTTTTTTTAATTTTAATTTTTAGTCCATATAACTTATTCTTTTTTTTTCAAATGTTTTGTTTTAAGTATTTGTAATTACTTTATTCTACAAACATTCTCAACCAAAGCGAAAAAAATAAAATCAGTATAATTACAAATAAATTTTAAAATAGAATAAAAATGATAAAAAAAACATAAAAAAAAAACTAAATATGTAAGAAATATATTCATAATAATGCTAAATTTGAGAAAAAAAAGGAAAACATTCTTAGAGTCACTACACTATATCATTGAATATTGATTATTGTATCTTATCACAAATAATTAAATACAATAATTTAAAAAAAAATTAAGTAATCACATTATAATACAAGATCCTCAATCATGTGTAAATAATTGTATGATTTGTATTTTTATTTTTATTTTTTTACTCTCATAAATATAATTTTCTATTCAATGTATCTCTCTCAGCCTATATATATAAATCTAAATTTTTATTACATATAAACTAGTTTGAATTCGTGAAGAAAATAATTTCATTTTTTTTATCTCTTAAATAAAAAAGTTTCTTTCCTACTATTCTTTTTACGTTGTCACTTTTATTTTTACACTGTGACTTACCTGATTCACAGTAAATCGATATATATATAAATAATTTTCACTGCTTTAAACCAATCGAACTAGTGGATTTACTTAAATTAGTATTTAGTGAAAGTAATTATTAAAAAAAATAACAAAATTTAAAAATGACTAATAGTTATATGATTATATTTTTTTTTAAAAGTAACGAAACTTGCTAATAACTTAGTTCGTTCCTCTTAGTAAGTAATCATTGTCAATTTATATTTTGTTGTTATTGGGTCTTAACCATAGAAGGCCAACTAGAGCCCAATTTTTGGAGTTTACTTCTATTTTGCAATCTGCAGTCTTATACGAGAAAACACGGGCATTTCAAAATCTGGAATTAGAGACATCTCTCTTTCGACGAAGTTAGTAATCAATGCGATCAACCGTGGACTTGAAGGATAAAAACATTTCTAAATATATCATATCAAGCATAATGCAAATCAAACGAAAAAACTAATTAATCGATCTGCTTTGTTTCTTGTTTATGATTTTGGTGAGTAATTGACGATCTACTCAATCCACCTTAGCACATTATTTACTTTCGTTTCTAATTTTTTAATGTTTTCGATCTTGCATTCGCGTCAATTTTACATTGTTGTTCAACCCAACATTATTGTGTTATTTGCAGTGACTCTACACTGAATATGCTTTTACCTTGTCTTTTTAATTTAGAATGTTCAAATTTACTGATTGTGCTTGGGTTTCAGTCCAGTTAATTGCAATTTAGTCTATTGTATGCTGATTTTTATGATTTTTTTCAGTTGTACGCATAAAATTGATTTTAGTTTGGGAACATTGACAACATTGACATCATATATGATTGACTTTTTACCTTTAGACGTCACAAATGTCAACTCTAAGGAACAGCACAGAGAGCGGAGCAACGAGGAAACGAATGAAACCTGAGGTATTTGTTTTTTCGTTTTTCAATTTTTTTTGTCATGAATTTACCGTCTGTTCTTTTAGGCATCATTTACTATTTCGTTTTCTTTCTATAATAAATAGGTGGAAGAAAAGGTGGGAGGTAAAGCAAAATCAAAGACTATAGAAGAGGAAGAATTTGAGGCGAACATTGCTGGATCTGAAGAAATGGAACTCAGTATCTCTCTTATTCTTGAGAAGATTGAGGATTATACTCAGAGGGTAGCTATATTTAGTTATAAATTGTGTGAAGCTTGGAATCGTAGTGTATTAAAAAAATACACCCTCTTTGACATGCTGAAGGAATTGCATGTAGGTATCTGAGCTCCTAGAATCAGGGAAAACAATGTTAAAGGATCTAAGCGATGAATTTGAAAGGAAAATTATTATGTGAGTCGTGAATTTGTCACTAAAAGAGCTTAGGTTCTAATATTGTTGGCTTTCTGTCATATGATCCTTTTAACTTCACAATTTGTAGGATTCACAAGGATCAAGTTGAAAAATGGCAGGAAGAAATACGAGAATTACGTGCACTTGATGCTTCAAACGAGGAAGTCAATTCTCTTCTGCATAATGCTCGATACCTTCTTCAGCCCACTCGTGATAATTAGTGAGGGTAATTTTCTGATGTCTATGTTCATTCGTTAACATAATTGCTCCCCTTGTCCCTAGGCATTAATAAGGAAATATGTAACTTTGTTATGAGTTTTTTTGTTATCCCCAGGAATTGAACGTACATCTTATGAGATTTACAACAACTCAGGCACCTTCCGAGTTATATCCATTGATCTTGGTAGGAATTTGAATGTGCTATGATACCCGGGAAATACTCGAGCAGTGTTGGATCATTAGGAATTTAAGATTGAATTAGTTTGAATTGGAGTGTGGTCCGTCATCTGGTTAATCTTAATGTGCATTATATACTCATCACAATTGGTTAATATGGGTGGGGAACCGTAGAAATTTTACTAGTAATAACACTCAGCAAATATGTGGAAGTTAAGTTTGACAAAAGGCAATTCAAAAGCAAGAAAGGTGTTGTTTTAATTTAACAAGTACTTCATGGCAAAAAGATTAATGAGTTAAGTCCTTTATAATGCATTTTCGTTCTGAACTTTCCTTTTTTATTTAATTTCTTGATTATGAGTTGACCTATGCTAAAGCCTAACGTTTGTAAGGGTTGATGTTGAGATGTTTGCTCATGCAGGTTTTTCAAGGTTTGCAGATTGAGTAAAAATTCATGGGATCTATAATGTGTTACCATTTACCAATTAAATGTGCTATAAATCCTATCTGGGCATTGTTAGATGTAGTCTCTAGATGGATATACATATAAAATAAATAGATGGTTAAATAAAAAGACAAATTTTCAACATAATCAATTTAGTGTTGCTTTGTTTGGTGGCAAATGACGTGGAAAAATTTAAGGTTTACAGATATCCATAGTTTCTGCCGGAAATTAACTTTTAGAACTATATTTGTAGTCTCTTATAGACTTAGCTAACAATAGGTTCAGACTATTGTATATGCAGGTTAATTCACTGTGTTTATATACTAATCTTTGTGGAAAATTTTGCTTGTTCAGTAGTCATGTTATGAATCACTCGAATACATAAACTACATAAAGGATAAATACTCATGATGGTGATTATTATACAGTTAGTTATAATCTCATCGCTGTCCAAATACATGACAATATTGTCAGATTTAAGTTATGTCGCAGCATGGATTAGGCTACGAATGAGGCCACTCGAGGAAGCAATGCATATTTTGCAAGTCGTCATCTTATCGAGCATGACTTTGGGTTTAGAACCACAGAGATATGCTCACTCATAACTTAGACAAGGACTATGGTAATATAATTCTTGATTATTATTTTTTTCAAATTATTGAATTGCGGACATATTTTAGTCGGTGGTCCCAAATTGAACCTGGGAAAGAGGGGGTCTAGACAAATAGGGGAAAGACAAAATGGATAATTCATAATGCTTGAATGATGTGATTTTTATTATCAAAATATTAATTTAATTCAGTTTTTCATCTTTATGTTAACCTGGTCATTTTTTTTTTCCGTTTGTAATCGAAAGTTAAGTACCTTTCTCATGTCTTGTCATATATTTAGGGTATTGTAATCTCATATTTCAGACATGAAATTTAAATGGAAACTATTTTTTCTAACTAATTCTACTTATCCAGTGTCACACCAACAAAAATGATATATATTATGTTAGAATAATATTATAGAATCCACATGTTCAAAAGAGACATGAATAATTTCAATAATATTATAATAGTAGAGGAATTAAAAAGGAATATAATTGCATATAAAGGCAAAAATAGAAAAAATTACATAAAAAAGAAAAATAAAATATTAAAGTAATAATAATTGAGCTTAACTTAATAAAAATAAAAATATTAATAAAAGTAATCATATTTTCTTCTATCTTTATCTTTTTTTTTCAATATTTAAACATTAAAGAGGAACATCCTAGAATCACACACGTTTTTTTTTTACTTAATATAATCTGTTTTAAATAAAATAATTAGACACATTAGATATCTGGTAAAATTATATACTTTGAATCTATCACTTCATCTATTTTAATTCTTATTTGTTATGAAGTGGAAGAGATTATAAAGAAGGAAATGGGTGAGTGAAGAGTTAGAAAAAAGTTTAAGTTATAAATTAATTATTTGTATTTGTAAGAGTATTTTAATGTGTTTTTTACTAGGTATGTGTAAAAAAAAGAGAAGAAATAATATACATGATAAATGAGATGATACAAATTATTTTTTATTTTTTTTACATGCAAATAAAAATAAAAATTATACAAGATGATAGACTATAAAAGAATAAAAAAAATTATCTAAAATTAAAGAGCTCCATATTATCTCTCAGAAAAAAAAATTAAGACAAAAGAGTAACAGACTTTGAAATAATGATTGAAAGAGGAATTACATTTTAGGACTGAATAAATATTTTCTTTAACTAATTTTAAAGAATTTATTATTTTCTTATTCTTTCTTTTTATTTATTATTTTTATTATTTAAATTTATTATTTTATTTCAGATTCTTTTAATAAAAAATTATTTAAAGTTCTAATTAAATATTTCGATAAATAACTCTCACACACCTATTTTTATAGTTTTTTTTTTTCACATTAACTTCATTCCATTTGATCCTTCGCTTTTACTTATTTTAAAGTAATATTTTAAACTTATGTTTACTCTATTTATTTTGTCTTGTACTCTACCTTTCTCTCTGCACATTTTATTTCATTTTTATTTTAAACTAATATAAGAAACTAATAATTTATCTAATTTTAAATGCTAATAACTTTTTAGTATTATTTTACAAAGCGTTTTTACAAAGCATTAAACATAATGAAAATTGAATTAAAACAGACATTTTTTTTACTATTTTTATTAATTTTTTTGTTTTCAATTTCTATTTTTATTATGCTTTAACATATGAAAAAAATAAAAAAAATAAAAAATAAAATAATTGACTCTGATTGACATAAAATATTTTTTTTGTAAAAGTAATAAATTTGAACGAACAATTAGATTGGAATAAAAGTTCTAGATGTTATACAAATAAAATAATAAAATTTAAGGATACAAACTAAAGTTTTATATTTTTTTTACACACGAGATTATATTAACATTTATAATATTTACATGTAACAGGTAAAGTCTAGAGATGAAGTGTTTTGTTATCTGTATTTTAAATTCTATAAAATAAAAGTGAAAATATATTATAACATTTTCTTTTGTTTTTTGTGTTTATAATTTATAGGTTTACTAACTTTTTCATTATTTTTATATTAATTATTTTTTATATTAATTTACTTCAATTTTGTTAAATGATTTTAATATTATTCTTTCTAAGTTTTTAATTTAAAAGATTAAAACATATATTAACTATATTTGTTGAATATATATATATATATATATATATATATATATATATATATATATATATATATATATATATATTATTTTTGAACATCTCAGCATTGCTTGTTATTGTTTGTTTTTGGATGATAATATTTTATTCTCTTTGAAGACCGAGTTTTAGTTGTTCACAGCAGCGTCAATCAGCTAGGGTTTTGAGTCTCACGGTTCAGAAAACATGGCGACTGTGGTGCCAACCTCTGAAGAAGATGCTGCACTCTCCGTCGTTCGATTCGTCTCTGAACTTGCCTGGGCTGATGCCGGTCCAGAGGTAACTTTCTTTTAATTTCTTCGCTCTCTCTTTCACATTTCCCAGCCCTTTTCTGTGCTTTTTCTTCTATGTAGTTGGGAATGGTTCGTTGGTTTCGGTGTGAGATTTTTTGTTCCGATTGTCTGCTAGGGACAAGATGGTCTGTTCACGATGCACTGTGTACATGCTTAGTTGAAATACTCGTGGAACTTAGAATTGAATCTGGATTTGTATAACACGGTTACTTCAGATAGAATACTCAAAAGTTGGTATGTTCATTGGAACTCGTTCTGCAACATTATTTTTGTCGTAGAAATTTCCAGATTCATGCTGCTGTTCAGAAGAAGGCAGGGAGGGAATTGTTCGTTTGGTAGGGTGGATAGAAAATAGATTGATATTGAAATATCAGGAATAGTATTTTTTGTGTGTAGTTTTAGGGTTTGTTGGTCTGCATTATTTTCTTCTATTGCTTCTCTGTACATTCACACGTCTTGTTTGAAACGGTTGCTTGCATTATTCATGAATTTAGTTCTTACCATCTTGTTTTGTCAGGTTGCCGAACCACAAGTTAGTAGACTCTGCATGGAGGCTGAAGAGTTCATTGTTATGGAAAAGTGGTTGGAGCTAGCATCATTGATGATTGCCTCTGCTGAATTGATTTTCTCAAAGGTTTCTGAGAAAGGTAGAGTTTATCTTTTTTATTTGATATCAATCTATACAGCTTTTGTTGTTGCATTCCTCTAGCATCTTGGCCTAGTTCCAATTCATTGTTGAACACATGAACTTTATATGGTGTGTATGTGTTATGCAATCATCTGTGTCGGAACCTTTTCCACTCTGTTACTTTGGTTGGTTATGTTATTGTTGAACTGCGGTACTCTCAGCAATTTTTCCTTATTATGTTGCATTTGTGGTTTCCTTTTTGGGTGTCTCATTTTTCATCTTTTGGTTAGAATCCAATTTTCACTTTGCATAGAAAACTGCTTAGGGTGATAGGATGTGCCATTAATGCTTCCAGTGAATGTGAGTGTGTTAACAAGTTCTGCCGTATCTTGTACCAGATATAGAGTCGACCTTTACTATCATTTGCAATCTTGTTACAAAGACTGCGAATCCAGATGAAGCAATGGAGATTGTTAAAGTTGTAACTGCAAAATTACTTCAGCAGCCAAATGAAAAGCCTGCTGTGCGATTGAAAATGTAATATCATATGCTGCTCAGTTTAAAATTTCTGGTGATGCATGCTGGTGTGAATATTTATGTTATTGTTTTAAAAATATCTTCTGTTTTCTTTTCTCTACAGTTTAATCAATCTGTACAATCTTTTGGAGACACCGTACTGCCAGTTTTATGTCTACATGAAGATGCTGAATTTAGCTGTTGATGGTAAAGTCACTGAGTTCATTATACCATCATTCAAAAAGATTGACAACTTCTTGAAAGACTGGAAAATTGGGATACCAGAACAGAGAGAGCTCTTTCTTGCTATCTCTAATATTTTGAAGGAAAATAAAAGGTATAGCAGAAGTGAATTCCTGTATTGTTAATTTTATGAATGTTCTCTTTACCTATCTTCAGAGTGAGAGTACAGCTTAAGATTTTTTCCCATCCGACTGCTCCCCCTTAATATTCTATCCATCTTTCAATTTTCTTACCTGTTTTTTAAAAATAAGTAATTACCATTTCATCTAATTTTATCTCAGCGTGTCAAAGGATGCTTTAAAGTTCCTGACCAGGTATCTGGCTACTTTTTCGGGAGAAGATGCCCAAGTTTTAATTGAAGCCAAGGAGGAGGCTGCACATGCAATTGTGGAGTTTGTAAGGGCTCCTGATATCTTTCAGGTAACTTGTCCAATTGTAATTATGATGTTTGAAATTGTATGATCTTACCATTTCAGCTTCCTACATTGTTTAATTACCTTTAGGAGTTACTGTTATGTTGTCAATAGTTATATTATCATTTGTTTTTTATCACTTCTATTGATTTGATGGTGCATAATCTTCTGGTCTGCTAGTAGATGTGTATAAAAGTAAAAATGACAATTTATTGAGTAGTATTTAAACCTATAAGGTGATTAAGACACTTTCTTGTTATAGGTTATCTTTGTTTAGAAATGCAACTTTTTGTTTGTTCGTTGCTGACTTTTCCCTAGATATCTAAGTTTGCCATAAAATTCCATGCCTACATTGCTATGAGTTCTGGAAGGGCATTCACTGAGTTGATCATCATGTAGTGTGATTTACTAGACCTGCCGGCTGTTGCACAACTGGAGAAGGATGCCAAATATGGTTTGTTGTATGAGCTTCTTAAGATTTTTCTTACCCAGAGGCTGGATGCATACTTAGACTATCATGCTGCAAATTCCACCTTGTTGAAAACTTATGGTAAACATTGTTTATGAATGATTATCATTTACCAGTAGTTGCATATGCAGGGATCTGTTTTACTTTATCTTACTATCAAAATGTTATGATGTTTTTAGGCCTTGTGCATGAAGAATGCATTGCTAAAATGAGGCTGATGTCATTGGTGGATCTTAACTCTGATGCATCTGGCACCATTCCATATGAACTTATTAGGGATACACTTCGGGTAAATTTGTATTTGGTTTCTATGTTTTGTATTTGTGTTCTTCCTGTCACAATTGAAATGGTGCATTGTCCCTTTCAGATCAATGATGATGAGGTGGAACTGTGGGTGGTTAGAGCAATAACTGCTAAGTTAATTGACTGTAAGTTGGACCAAATGAATCAAGTCGTAGTTGTTAGGTATGTTCTACATCTATTTCTTGTCTCTCTACACCCTACTGCCTTTCTATGTGGATATGCACCTCTTGACCATAGCTGTTTTGTTGAGCATCATATATGTGCTGATATTGAACGTTCATTCAGCTGTTTGATACTCGATTAATGCAAGTGTTTAATGTGCAGTCATCCTACTGCTCGTGTGTTTGGTCAGCACCAATGGCAAGCACTGAGAACAAAGCTAGTGACATGGAGGGTAAATAATTTTGTCTATAATTTTCAGAATTATAATTAGTTATTCCACAAGGCATAGAAATTTTATGCTATTCCTATTTTTATACAGGCATCCGCATATTACGAGTATGATAATTGAATTTATAAATTTAGTTTAGAAAGAAAAGAACTATCGCAGTTAATTTTTCTAATCAGAACAGAATTTTATGTTAGGACCTTCAATATCATGAGTACATACTTTAAGATATGAAAAGTCTGTCAATTTGGATTATGCTGCATGTTGAAATGATTATGAATTTTTCATTAAAAAAATACCGCTCTTTTTCTTTTGTACCACAAATGTAAATATATGTACTGTTGGTGTATACATTATATATATATATAATTTTATTTATCTGGAGAACGTTCGCTTCTGCTTTTTATTAAGCTATTTGTTCTACATTATGATAGTATTGCACTTACTAGCATTTTGATTGTTGAGCAATATAAAGATGAAATGTCATTGCTTCAACACAAGTAACTGTTGTTTTATTCACTATGATGTTTGATTAAATGTTTTCTATGTCTAGGGAAATGTTGCAACTGTTATCAGTACCATTCAGGCCAACAAAGTAACGGAGGATGGGCCCCAGGCAGCCCAAGGTTTGGTAGCTCGGTGAGGACGTTCTCGAGTGAAGCAATTATCTGAGTATCGAGATTTTATTCAGGTGGAATTTTTTGATCTTAAAAGAGTGTAATTTATTTTATTACAATTTTATAATTTATTTTTGTTTACTACTGACTCTAATTGTACTAACCAACTTCGGGAGAGAGCTATTTTTATTGAATTTTACGTTTTGTTGAGTTGCCTCACGATTGCGTCGAGGGTATTCCCAGTCTAGGTCCTTGAAAAATACAGCTCTATTTAAAGTCTGTAAACTAAAAAAAATTGTGCAATGGGAACGCGGTCATGTGAGCTTCCACCTATTATGTTTTACCGTGTATAGCATAGCAGCTAGAGTGAAGTCCGAATTTGCGGTCTTATTTTATCATCAATTGAGTTGGGGTTTAAAATTACCAAATTTGCTGAATAGCTCTAGGGAATATGCTACTATTTTTGCAGTTTGAACCTGAAAATCAGCGCGCTACGATAATAAAGTTTGGCGTGTTTTCAAGTTTACTGAGTGCTCTGTGGTAATACGAGTATTGCACAATTAAGATGCACAACACATGTCAAATGTATATCCGACCATGTTTATTCTGCTTAATACAATGTGTCCAAAATTTTGATTTCTACCGTGGCATTTTTCACTTTCCTCAAATGAGAAATTGTCACGTTAAATGGTAGATTATTTGAAGAAAGAAAAATTCACCTTTGAAAATTGACTTTTTCAAATCAAATGCTACATAAACTTAGATGAAGTAAAAAAATCAGAAAAAGTTGAACCTTGAAGTTGATTAGATTTTTTTTTTAGTTAAACAAGACAAAAAAAACTGATATCTTGAAACGACACTTCAGTGACTTTCATTTAGTGACAAATATGTGGGAAGACAATTTAGTAAAATAATAAGTTACTAGAATGCTATATGCTTAAATGAATGATTTATATATTACTTTGTAATCAACTAATGCGTATTTTCCTTTAAGGAACAACTAGTAATTAATTGATTAGAGTTGAATTCACATTTTCAAAATAAGCTTAACCCAGCCAGGTTGACGTCATTCCTAAACAGGCATTTTCAATTATGGAACACATCAATCGCGTTACATTTCCACGGTGTCACTTGTATCAGTGTTATTACAACGTTACCAGAAATCTTTGGTAAATTATTTGAAATATATTATTAGTAATTTATTAAATTTTATATAATTTTTATTTTGATATCAAAGCAGCTACGTTTGAGAGTGCCCCTAAGTCGCCCGGTACAGTGTCAGGAAAAGATTTACTAACGCGCTGCGGCACCGTCCGAATGTTCTAGAAGGATTCCGAACATGAGTAACTTGTGAGTGAGTGAGCGATTGAGTGGAGAAGTGATAATAATGTCAGTGAAGAAACAGAAAGCCCAGCAAGACAAAGAAGAAAATGGCTTCGTTGTGTGGCAGGTGCACAATAACAGCATTACGTCGCACTTTAATTTTCATCTCCAACTCTAACACTGGCACCTTCTCCCGCACCTCTCTCCGACACACCTTTTCCTCACCACTCTTCCTCACTCCTACCCCACCCTTTTCCCTTTCAAACTCCCACGCCGTTCATCGCCATTTCTGTTCCACCAAAAGCCCTATCGACACCAAGCTCAACTTCTCCCTCCCCGACTCGGACTCTGAATCCGACGACCAAACCGGCAACACCCACAAAGAGGCAGACAAAACCAATAGGGTGCTCCCACCCCCTTACGACCCCTTCAGCAAGAAGCCCGCAATAGAAGACCCCAAGGACCCAAAGGACTTGCAACAGATTTTCCACAAGATGAGGAGCGGCGATGGGCTGTTCAACCATGCAGTGAAAATGTTCGACGCATTGTCCAAAGAGGGTCTGACCCATGAGGCGCTGGAGCTCTTCGGGCAGATCAAGGACAAGGGTCAAATGCCCGACGTGGTAGCCCACACCGCCATCCTCGAGGCCTACGCCAACGCGGCACAGCCAAAAGAGGCTCTCAAGGTTTACTTGCGCATGCTCGCTTCTGGGGTGTCACCCAACGCATACACCTATGCTGTTCTCATTACGGGTCTTGCTGCTGATGCCAAGTTCATGAAGGACGCGAAGAAATACCTTTTGGAAATGATGGATAAGGGGATGAAACCCAATGCAAAAACTTACACTTATGTGTTTGAGGGGCTGGTGAAGGAGGAGAGGCTCGATGAAGCTGCAAGCTTGGTGGGACAAATGAAGGCTAGGGGATTTGTTCCTGAGGAGAAGGCTGTTAGGGAGGTTCTAAGCAACAAAAGAGGCCCTGTTTTTAGAAATGTCATAAATGTTCTCTTTGACAAGTAGTGAAACCATGCTGAGTGTGACATTGAAATATATATGTTTGTCTTTGTTTTATACATCTGGTATTAGTTCGTTACGCATTTCAATTTGGTCTGCATGAACGGTGAATAGCCGCATGAACGGTGAATAGTAATCATAGTGTAATAATACCAACCTTCATCACAAAATCGGTAAAATTGTGACAAATTACTATTTTAGTAAATAATATATCATGATTCTTAAGTTGATAAAAAGCATATTCCTACACTTCTTGAAACATAAGTAGGTTCAAAACAGCATTCCTACACTTACTACTCTTGCCAAAAATATTTCATGATACCAAAAATGTTCTTGCTTCAGACTAGTGGAGACTTCTCGGTAGAATACTAAATAAACAATACAATAGATATGTCACTTAAGATCGATTGCGGGATTCTTTGGGGGAAGCATCTTCAATTTCTTGAACCCCCATGTTAGGCAATCACCGGAGCAAAAGATGTACAAACTAGAAAAAGTTTCGTTTGTTGCGACAATCTGATGCTCGATGGCCAGGTTGTCCACAATTAAAACATGCCCCTCCGTGCCCGCCTCTGCAATGCACGTTCAGATTTCGTTAGTTATTAAATATTATTACACAGATACACAAGTAAAGCAGTTACTATAAGTCTATAACTTGTGCTATACTGTAACCTGTTTGATGATGAAAACCTGTTTGATCGTCCACCTCCAATTAGCCAGTCATCGCCACTGTTTTTACCCATTCGAGACCTGTTGTTGCCTGATCTGAAATTTCTACCGCCTCGTCCAAACTCATCATCAGTGTCTTGGCCTCCTTCCCATCCCCGTGAACTTTTAAAACCTCTTTGATCCCTAGAATTAGAACCTCTTCGGTTACTTCTGTCTCTGTCAGAAAACTTTCCATAGAAATCACTTGCAGGTTCATCGTCTTGCAAAGGAGGTAACTGCCATTGCAATGTGAATTTACATTTGTCAAATTATTACTCCAATCGAATAAACTGACACCAAACTACTGTTTTTGTTTTAGTAGGGGAGTAAACATTTACAAACAATAAAAATTAGAAGAGACTATTAGCCAAACTTTGTTATTTACCTTGGTGGTTTTGGAAATAGTGTTTCCAGATGGCAGTTCCTTTTTGAGTAACTCTTTAGCAATTTCCTCCGGAAGATCAAAAACAGCTCCTTTAATCTGATACAGGACGCATTACCAAATTTAGAATGAATAGAATGGTCCGATGATAATCTTAATAATACTGAAGTTTCTTATAAGAAACTAGCACAATAGATATAAATAGTAGTACTCAGTTTACAAACCCTCTCATCTGCAATTAAATGTATTTTTCCGACTTCATCAGCAGCAGGAGAATAAACATCAGAAAGAAACCCAGTAACAGATCTTGCAGAAAATAATCTTCCAGAAGTATCTGAATCTCGAGTCAGTTGCAATGTAATCCATCCCTACAACACCAGAGTTTTAATGAACTAACAAAATAACCCAGTACAAACAACACACACACACACACACACACACACACACACACACATATATATATATATATATATATATATATATATATATATATATATATATATATTATGTCAACCTTTATTAATGCTTTGAAGACTAGTTTGAATTTAAAAACTAAGCAACTTAGAGCCAACCTTGTCTAATATTTTGAAGACTAATTTCAACTTATAAATTAATCAAACAAGGATCAACTTTTCAAAATATTAACAGAGGAGCAAACATTAAATATCAAAACCAATTATACCAAGTTAACGTGGGTTTTCATGATAGGAAAACACTTATTATACTGCAATTGCTATTCTGCCAGGGCAATATTTAGGTTTTTATTGTGCTGAACAGACTTTCCATTAGATGTAGATGGCACATCCTTTACATACTTTTGATGAAGTATAAATCATTATGCATAGTATATGACCCAGAAGGAATACGGGGAAACAATAAATCCTTCGGAAATTTTCAATTTGAAAACATATGCTTCTACAACACCTGTTCATGATTGATAAGAGACCGACATGATGGAGGTCGAGAGAATCCACTCATCTGTGCCAGAGCAGCAGCAAGGGCCCTTGCTCCTTGTTCTTCAACCAGTTTTTCTGCAGTTGCAGTGAAAAATTCAACAGATTCTGGATGAACTCTATTAAGTGTAGCAACAACTTGCTCAGCTGATGACTCCAAAATTTCTTCCATAGCTGGTGGACTAATAAAATCAAATTTGCAGCCAACATCATGCTCAAGGGATCTAACTGTTCTCCTCTGGCTACTGGTGTACATCAAAATGGCTGTACCCTCTTTTCCTGCACGCCCAGTACGACCAGAACGATGAACAAAAGTCTCAGCATCATTGGGAAGTTCATAGTGTATAACCTGAAGAAAACAATGTTACATCAACAAGCTTCTGAATCTGTTACAACAGACAGCAATTTGGTCGGTCTTTGACCAAAGCATAATAAAATCCTTATGATTCGATTTTAAATGTAAGATCTTAAACAGAACTGAAATGGAGTCCAAAGGAGTTATCAAGGTACTGTTTATACGAACACATTTCATAAATTATAAAATTCTAAATGCCAAGTCGTATGCACTTTACCATGATAATATCATATGTAGTGGACATATCCCATTATATTAAAAAATAATCCAAATAGTACTAGAACAAGCAAACCAAACTTAAGAATTGACAAATGTAATCTCATATCAGCAAATACGTTCTAATCCAACCTAGGGATATTGTATCTCAAGACTCAAACTTCAAGACCCTCATTTTCCATCAACCGAGTAAAATCTGAATTTACTACTACAACCTTAGTAGAAATTAAAATTAACAAAAAAAAAATAATGCTAAAATTCCAAGAAAAATCTTCAAAAAATAAATCTTGGAGAAAGGACATTTATCTCTACCAAAAATCATGATTTTAAGCTTACCAAATCAACATTGGGAATATCAAGTCCACGAGCAGCAACATCAGTGGCAACAAGCACTGTGAATTTCCCTTGGCGAAAACCATTCAATGTTCTCTCTCTCTGATGCTGAGATATATCACCATGCAGTGCTTCAGAAGCTATACTACTCGTTAATGCCAATGATACTTCATCAGCATCCTTTTTTGTCTTCGTAAAAACAATAGTCTTTCCACCCTTTGCATAAACCTAAACAGCATAGTAACATTCAGTGAAATTATTGAACTGCCACCCTTATCTTCAACAGTAACTTAAAATATATTCTCAAACATAAAACTAATTTAAATTTTACGCACACATGTAATTTAAGTTTGTGGTATTCCACATGAACTACATCCCAATATTAGAATAATGAAAAACAAAACTTAGTTGCTCATTATGCATCACTAATTAAAGATGGAGTTTCTTTAAACACCCTTACCCAACTCTAAAAACCACTAAATGCATTTTTATTAATATTGAAATAACTTTTTAGGCTTAATTGCACATTTTACCACTTATTTTACACTTTTACCCTAATAATTCAATTCTGCGAAATTTACCATCTGAAATTCAAAATTACGCACATTTCATCCTTCCATCAATTAATTTGTTGGCAAATTACTAATTTTGTGATGAAGTAGCCAATTTGAGATGACTCAACCCAAGGTGGAATATGTATTTTATTTTAAATTACACATTTTACCACTAAATTTACGCAATTTTACTTTTAAACTTTCAATTTCCTGAATTTCACTACCGAATTATTAATTTCACAAATGTCACCATTGAACTATCAATTTTGCCAATTTTATCATTTAAATTTCACAGTTATACAATGACGCCATTTTGTGTACTAAATCTAGGTTTGAAGTGAAATAATGACGCTATTTCTTTGACCAAGGTTGAGGAAAGGGAAGTAAATATGAAACGTAAATATTTGTAGTAGTTTTAGACCAAACTAAAATTACTAAAAAAAATTATATATTTTATGAATCTCTATAAATTATTTATAGTAATTATTTTTCATCAAATAGCTAATTAATCATATGTTAAATTCAATTTTTGTAAAATAAATATAATTTTTCAAAACATTTTTTACTCGAAAACTGTTTATTTAACTATTTGCAACAATTTAAGGTAACCAATTATGTCAAAAAAACTGTCTCAATAAAATCTCAAAAGGTCCCATAATTATTATTAATTATTTATATAGTATTTATTATTTAAAAACAAATTTTAAATTTAGCTATATATGTTTTCCCTCATTTTACTCTGTTATATAGCTTTATGTAGAAATATTAATTATCTTTCAGCTATCCAGGATAGATATGAAAAATATAAACTATGCAGGATTTTAATCATGAATGTAGTTGAGGAAATCAAGGGTCTGAAGATTCTACATTGATTCGCCAGAATAAAATACAGATAAATTAAACAAATAGTTTAGAGCAGGGGTGTTACTGCATCATTTCTAATCAATACCACTGAATTTTCGATCAAATCATCACACATTTACTTTTCGAAATTGAAAATTCAATAGTAAAATTTGCAAAAGAGCAAAAGTTAGCAGTAAAATGGTAATTTATAATATAATCCATATTCCATTCTAGAATGAAAGCGACCTCAGATTGGTCACATCAATGCACCACTAATAATTTGACAACCAATTGACGAAAAACTAAGAGGTGTATACTTTTGAAATTCAGATGGTAAAATTTACGAAATTTAAAGTTCAATGGCAAATTCGCAATAGTGTAAAAGTTTGGTAGTAAAATATGCATTTAAGCCTTTTTTTTTATTACCATATCTTACAATAACACTATCCAAATCAGAATTAAAAAATACTAGCTTTGGAAATTAGCAAACATCAAGCTAAGATTGTAATTTTGGAAAAAACATAACTACAAACTTACAGTTATAAGATCAGAAAGAACTATCCGTTTTGAAGTGGCAGTGGCTGATAAAGCATAAAGTTTGATCCCTTCGGCAAGTTTCTCTTCTTGTTCGCCAACCTTGTTCAGAAGAAAAGGGAAAAAACACCATAACCAATTTCCAGTTATTAAAACACATCTTAATCTTGATTTAATTGTCATTCTAGAATAAGGTAAGCATTATTAGTATGCACAATTGCATCTGTTTGATGAAAAAGAATCGGAAGAAAAAAGACAGTTTAGTGGAAATTCATTCATGCTTTCCCTTGGTTTCTCTCCAAATCCACTATACCAAACATACAACAAGATGTTTCCAAACAAATGAAAAAGGTATATGGTGAGGAATTGCATCAGTGATGTTTAACTAGATTATTTAAACACAGGGTGTAGTTATGAACAGCTTTTTACCCACCCCAAAAAGCCACGTAATATAAGTCAGTGACACGAGCTACGGATTATGCTAAGGCATGCAGTCAAGACAAAAAAGCCTTTCTTTTCAAGTAAATCCGCTACGCAGATTGGAATGCAATAGGTAATCACTAATTATCAAATAAATGAGAAAATTCTTCTTGTAGATACAGAACATATATTCTGTTTCGGACAATATTTTGACTCCTTCTTGAGAAGTATCCTCACATGCTCACTCACTACCAAAGCAGACACTGTTTTAAACCACAATCCAACATATCATACAGAGCCTATTTCATTGCACAGCAACACTTCTTGCCAATGAGAAACATAATATGATCATGTTATGTGTCTTGCGATAAACAATGAAAAATTGCCAATACAAATATCATACTCAGCAATCTACACTTGAACTCCATAAATAAGTAAGTACATAGTCAACAACTCTACACATTCACAGAGAAGGCAAGCCGAAAAAAGCAACAAAAGATTTTACCAAATCAATTGTCAAAGGAGTCTTCAAATACTTTCTGGACAGTTTCTTGACCCAACCAGGCATGGTAGCAGAAAATAGCATGGTCTGGCGCTGCGAGGGGACCTTATCCAAAATGACCTCCACATCCTCCTCAAACCCAACAGCAAGCATCTGATCAGCTTCATCAAGCACCAAATACTGAACCTCACTCAGTTTAAGGCTATCTCCATTCACTAGATCGATAATTCTACCCGGAGTTCCAACCACCACATCAACACCACGCGAAAGCGCACTCTGCTGTGTTACATAAGAAACACCCCCATAAACACAAACCGTTTTCAGGTAAGGTGCAGATTCTTGTATCTCCTTCTCAACTTGCTTGGCCAACTCCCTAGTAGGTGCTAGGACCAAGGCTTTAGGAAGTCTCCCATGCCTCCTGCAATAATTAAAACACGTATACACACATGAATATATGATGCTAGATAACCTAAAAGATTAACTAATGTGCATGAATAATAATAATAATAGTGTGGACCTGTGAGAACTTTGTTCATCATCATCAGTAAGGCCTTTGAGAATTGGAATTCCGAATGCTAATGTTTTGCCAGTGCCAGTCTTTGCTCGAGCAATGATATCTCTACCTTCTAGTGCAGGCAGCAACACAGCTCTCTAATCACACAAAAGAACAAACATTTACATCTGTGCTACATAAAAATATAAAAGAAAACAAAATATTGATACCTGAATGGGGAAGAGGCTGGTGATTCCACGTTTTTGTAGGGCTTGGACGAGGGAGGAAGGTAAAGACAACTTGGAAATGTCGAGTTCGTGGAGAGGGGTGGTGTCCGGTTGGCGTTCATCGCCAAATTGGTGGTGATTGTCAACGTCCTCCAGAGTTAAACCCTGGAAGGGTTGTTGGGTGAGAATGGAAGAAGTGGGGGTGGCAATGGCAGAAGGAACGGAAGAGAGTGTGGCGTTACTGGTAAGAGTGTTGAAAGAAACGGAGGTGGTTGGTCTTCTGAGGAATTGGAGAGACGGGGTTTTGAATATGGAAATGGAAGAAGAGAGAGGTATGGTGGAAGAAGAAGCCATGTTTGTGTTGGGAAGAAGAAGAAGAAGCGGCGAGGGGATAAGGCCACGCACTTTGTTGCCTCCGAAAGTATGGCCTTTTAAACCTCGCTGAGGTGTGTCTCTCTGTCTCCTTGAATTGAGAAATACTTGAATTTCAACTTGGATCTTTTCCGGGTCATATCTGCAATACATTACCTTTTTATTCATTAATCGAATGATTAAGGAACACACACAATGGTTATCTTATTATTATGAAGTAGTAATACAAATGTTTACTAACTGATTTTGTTTGTTTTAGGATGCATTAGGTCGTTGTTAAAAAAAATTATAACTAAATTTATAATAATTAACTAAAATGTAAATTATATTATAATTAAATTAGTAATAAATATTTTTTAAAATATATAAATTATACTTTAAGTTTGTAAAAAATGGTCTACATTTTATATATTTTTTAATTATTGTTTAAACATTGATAGATTAAAAACATCGAGGTTTAAAAATATTATATAAAATGCACACGAGCATAGAAAATATTAAAAACTTACTTGAGAAGGTAAAAAAAAACTTGATCCTTTGTTAATCTTTAATAGAAGAATGAAATTTATTAATCTTAAATAACTTTTTAATGTTGTAATTTTTGTGTTCAAATTATTTTACATTATTTTCAGTTGTTTTCTTCATTGCGTATTATACTTGTTTAATTTTTAGTTTATATTTATATTTATATTTATTCACTTTTAATTTAGGATATATTTAAATTAATTTCATTATAAGAGTTTTTAAGTATTTATTTTAAGAAGCTTAATAAGAAAATTACCTAAAAGTTTGTTACACTTTTCTTAATCATTTATTATCAGGATAACTAATTTAACTTTTATAATGTTTATTAAAAAAACTAAGCCAGTAAAGTTTATTCTTTTTAATTAGAAAAGTGAATTTAAATAAGAAAAGTAATCAGAAAGTAAATAAACACGAAAGAATAAAGAAACATTAAGACAGACACAGAGAACATAGGAGAATGAGAAAACTGTGAAAAATATTACAGTAACAAAACCTTTAAATTAAGGAAATTTGAAAAGCAAACATCATTTAAATAAAGCATAAAAAAATTATCAAGATTTTATTTTTTGTACCGTTGTGCATGTGAGCACTGGTAATAGAATTAGAAAGAAACGAAGAAATCGAGGTATCCGCGTGTTACCGTCACTGTGTCTCCGTTCTAAATTCCGATTCCTTCATAGCCGCCATACTCTGTTACCCACTGCATCTTCCTCTGTTTTTCCTGTTCCTTCTCTTCCCACAACTTTTCCCAGATCTGTTCTTTTTTCCTCAATTATTTCTCCCATTCTGCCTAGGGTTCACACTTTCCTCTTCCAACCGGCTCGCGCATCACCCTTCGTTGTCATGAATTCGGCTCCGTTAGCACTTCTCGCCGATTTTTGCTGACGGAGATTCGAAATTCGGCCGCAAAATGGTTCCAATCTTGTTGTACATCATCGCTTTTATTTGCACGTGCGGAGCTATTGCGTTGGCCTTGCTTCACATTTATAAGCATCTCCTCAATTACACAGAGCCTACATACCAGCGCTTCATTGTTCGTATCGTTTTTATGGTCCCGGTGAGTCATTCATTGAGAACACCTCTTTCGGAATTTGATCATTTATCATTGTAATAATTATGATTAACGAAGGTTTTTTCCATATATTTACGGAAAATGAAGATATAAACTCTCTTTTTTTTTACTATTGCTTGGTATAGCAGCTGAAATCTGTGTTGTTGTGCTTTGTGTTATTTGCCGTCTTTAGTAGCTTAAGTGATGATCTTATATGTAACTTAGTTGAGATATGAAATTAAATGCTCGTTATGTGTGCATTGCTTGCATGTAAGAAAAGATTGTTAAAATGAGGTATTTGTTTTAATGGAGAAGTGTGATTATGGAGTTGTTCCATTTCTTCCATTTTCTTCGTCTATGACATGGAAAGTTCTGGAAATCTGTGCAGCTCCTTGGCTGGTTGCTGCTTCGTCTATTTGGTTGGTTTGGTTCTAGGCCAAACCTGTTTACTTTCTGTATATGTTGCGTTTTTGCTGATCATTTATTACAATTGCTATCCCGTACCGCGTGTATGTGTTTCCTTGTTCATTAAAAACATGTATATATTTTATTTACTCTCTATTTTCATGTCGCGGAGCTGTCGATATTTTACTGGGAAACATACCGGGTTTTTTCTGTATGTCTGTATGATTTGGTCCACTCAATTTGAAATTTAATTTTCTCACAGGTTTATGCTTTGATGTCATTCTTGTCGCTTGTGCTACCAGATTGTTCAATCTATTTTAATTCAATCCGGGAAATGTAAGTTATTTCCTGCTCCTGCTTTTGTTGTAGTTGTGCTATCTTAAATTTGAATATTTTTTTTATTTGGTTTAAGTTCGTTTGTCTATCATGCCTTACATGTCAATATCCTGCCCATGTTCTTATAATTTGGGAGATAACCTGTATCCGGTTATGGCTGAACTACATGCAATTGTTCTGCTTAAATCTTGCCTGGTGGGTTACTCTGAAGTAGATGTACGTGGCATTCTGTCCAGAAACTCCTTGAAGTTACTTTTGGAATTTACTGGTTTTTTATCCTTTTCCGGATGAAATCAATCCTCCTACTCAAGAATAAAATTTCATGCCTTTTCCTTTTAATAAATTGGTTTAACTTTTGGACATGTCTGATCAGGTAGCCACTGAACAGTGCTTGAGAGTAGTAGTATTATTCTCATATTATGTTCATTATGTGACTGAGGTAGCAACGGAGAATGTTGCAGCAGTAACCCTGCTTACATATGTAGTCAAAATCCTGAAGAACTCCCTTTTCCCCATATGCATTTGATTTGACCGTTTTTTACATATATTACTGCCTCTGGAGACTTTAATTCACTAGTCTCTCACCTATTACTTGTTTAAAATATAAATGGATTTATGACCTATCTTATCAACTAGAAGCAATGCATTTAATAACATTCTCCTTGCTGCTTTTTCAGCTATGAAGCTTGGGTTATTTATAATTTCCTATCACTATGTCTCGAATGGGTTGGTGGTCCAGGAGCAGTAGTCCTAAGTTTAACTGGACGGATTCTGAAGCCGTCATGGTTTCTGATGACTTGTTGCTTACCTCCTGTGGCACTTGATGGGTGAATTTTTGCTATCTGATTCATTTTATTTTATTTTATTTCAAGTTTCTGTGCCTTAAAATGTTTCCCTGAAAATTGACCTACAATTTTCCTTGGGATTAATGTATTACCTAACTCTTTTAAGTGGGATTATGTAAGTTGTGTTATTTTGAAAAACTTCGAATAGATTTTTGCATAGGTGATGATCATCTCTCATTCCTGATCTTTCTGCAGGCGTTTTATACGAAAATGCAAGCAAGGGTGTTTACAGTTTGTAATTTTGAAGCCCATTTTAGTTGTTGTTACACTTATACTTTATGCAAACGGGAAATATAAGGATGGAAATTTCAGTCCAAAGCAATCATACTTGTATCTTACAATCATCTATACATTCTCCTACACCATGGCTCTGTATGCTCTTGCTTTGTTTTATGTGGCATGCAGGGATCTGCTTCGACCATTCAACCCAGTCCCAAAGTTTATTATAATAAAATCTGTTGTATTCCTAACTTATTGGCAGGTACTTCTCATGCCTCTCTTTTTTTATGGTCTATACTTTCCTTGTATCATCAAGTCTATTTGTTGTTTTGCGTATAGCTATCAGACTTCACTTCTCTGGTCTTTTGGTAAAAACCCAAATTATTTAAAACATTTACCAACTATATTAATAACCCCCTATAAAAAACTACTGTTCAGAATAAATAGTAATAATGAAATAAAGACATTGACACTTGTTTGTGAGTATATGCTAAGATGCCAGTTTGCTATATTACCAGATTAATTTTTGTGTCAACACTCTGAATTTTGTCAATCATGCAAAAGTTTCCCTGCAATGCTATTTGCTATGGGATCTAATTTAGAGTTTAAAAATGGTTCAATGTTAATTTGATATTGTATTACCGGTAGAGGTTTGAAGCAACTTTTTGTTTCTAATATTTTAGGGTGTCTTAGTTTTCCTTGCTGCAAAGTCAGAATTCATTAAGGATGCGGATGAAGCTGCTCTACTTCAAGATTTTTTCATTTGTGTTGAGATGCTTGTTGCAGCTGTTGGACATTTTTATGCATTTCCATACAAAGTATATGCTGGGGCTAACATAGGTGGATCCCGTGGGTTGACAGCTAGCCTTGCTCATGCTTTGAAATTAAATGACTTTTACCATGATACCGTCCACCAGGCCAGTCTCACTTTTAATATTCTTCTCATAGTTTTACTTTATCATGATAATTCTGTGAATCAGGTTCAATGCATTACTGCACTACCAACATGTTGCAACTCTAGTTCCATGGAATTTTCTGTATGATTTATTTTGTGACTCGTTTTGCTTGTCTAGTGTCTGCTGACAGTTAGATATTGCTTCTGGCAGTTTGCACCAACATACCATGATTATGTTCTCTACAACCACGGTGAAGGTGGTGAAGAGGGGACTAGGAAGTATAGGTCACGAACTTTTGTTCCAATTGGCCCAGAGATGGACACTGTGAGAAGAAATAGGCATCTGTTCGTAAACAAGCCGGAGGACATACAGCTCTCAAGTTTTTCTTCTAGCAGTAGCTCTCCCTCACATTCCGGTCCCAATTCCGAATTTTCACATTCTGCTGGAATGAAGTCTTCCTTACTAGTGGATGTGTCAAATTCTTTATCTGTGCCATACGATATGACACTTATCGACTTGGATGCATCCAGTTATCCTGAAAAGGTTCCAGCAGCTGATAAAGTCAGTACTAGGTGACAAAGAAGAACATTCAGAGCCAAGTTAGTGGGAAAATTGTCGTTGTTGAAGAGAGAAGAGAGTAAAATAGGGGCTTCCTGCATCTTTCTGTTCTAAGAGAGAATTATGAGTTAAGTGTGGTTTGTTTGATTCCAGGAAAGCATGTAAGCATGTCTGACGCTGATCTTGTGTCAATGCTGCTTAAAAGCCCTAATCTCTTCCCAGTCCGAACAAAACCAATTTTTGATAATTGGTCTTTCGTGTTGATACTGTAATTGTCTCCACTGAGTGCGTATCGTGTTCACATCGTAGATACAGAAACAGAAATAGTTGACTTACTGCAACACTACAGAGCCTGAGTTGAGTGGATTTGGATTATAACTAAACTAATTGGTCGATTATTTTCTCCTTCGCGCCATGAGTACAAAACACTGTTGGATTTGATACAATGTTATTTCCATCATTTTTACCTTTCCTAAAATTTGCTGTTGTGTAGACTTTTATGTCAAAGTTCATGTTTGTGCTTCTCGAATGTCTACGCTTGCAGATCCACATGAAAGATTATCATCAATATCTACTGTTGCTAGATTGTAGGCTGAATCACGTGATTCAATCCTTAGTTCTCCAACAATTATAAATTTTTATAATTGCTTCGAGTCAAAGGCCTCAAGTTCCTGAAACTTGCCCGACCCATCTTTCATAATTTCATATTAGGCAGTTTTTTTGTTTGAATTATATCAATGTGCAAAAGTAGTTGCTAACTCATTCGTCCCTTCTTTCAATCTTAATAATTATAATGTAATATCATTCTCTACATCCACTACAAAAATGGAGAAGGTATCATCAATGAACAATACCATTTTTCAAAGATACTAATTTAAACAATAGTTTGCACTTCCATCATGATGACAGATAAGATGTAATGTAGCATGATAAATGTCAAATGACCCAGTGATTCCTTCATAAATTGGGATACCTCAAGCATCTTTTAGTATTTGTCAATTGGTCGCCTTCATCTAGCTTTTGAATACCTCATGCTTCCAATTCACACAATTAATAATTGTTATCTTCAACATGTAGCATTATCCTCCTCCTCCTCATCATCATCATACTTTTTTTTGTTTCATATTGTTGCCATTTTTCGGTTGTATTCAGGCACTATCTGCTGTTGTCGCCTATATCACGACGTTTGGTAGTGACAGTAACTGCTGGTCCTTTTTGCATTTATTGGCACACGCCTAGTCTCATGCTTTGGTTTACCAACAAAGCCTTTGGTCCCACTGGTTTGGGAAATGATGCTCCCAGTTCTCCCTCATTGGATGGCTCTGATCCAACTCAACCAAAACATCCATGGAGCCCACAAAAGTAGGAGGAAGATTATCTCCACTTGCATGGACTCATACGGGATAATATATGTAGGAGGAGGTACAGGGAGTTTGTTCCTGCTTATATTATATAACTCATATACATACACAACATAAGCAGCCATAAGTCATATCCATAAACAGGAAGTAAAAAGTGAAGGGTCAAACATGTAAGGCCGATCACAAAAGTCACCGTCCATCTAAGTGTGATTTTTTTCAGATTAAAATTTAGGAAAATATGATGTGACATATTAGAAGAAAGATCCTGTTTTATTTACTAAGCTCAACTAACCCCTTGGAATAATCTAAGTACACTTACGTATTCCCTTCATCCAAAATCACTGTAAAAACATCAGGTAATATAACTTCAGATAAGTATTCTTATGTGTGGACGTGTTTAAAATTGATTGACTTAAAACAACTTTTGGTAATTTTTATGGTTGGATAAAAAAAATTGTACTGAATCAACCCTTAGCTTCTAGAATAAAAGCTTCTGAAATTAATTTCTTAAACTCTTACCCAAATCCATGTCCAAGTGTTAAACTGCTTAAAATAATGTTACACGAGAAGAAAGAAAAAAGAATACGAGTCTCGTCTTTAGACTTTAGCTACCATGGTTGCTTTGCAAGAATAGCAAAGTAAAATTAGGGGCGTTGAATTTCTACAGCTGAGAGAGTTCATTCAGACCCTTTTCTTTCCTCTTCTACATACTTATCTTGTTATATTTGACAAAGCCCTTTTTTCCATTAAACTTTTTTAATGGCTCTGACTTGAAGAAGACAGGGCCAATTATATTAGCTTGTATGCTTCTTTTCCTTTTGTGTTTTCCCTCTCTTCTTCTTCTTCTTCTTAAGAACCCTCTTCATACTCCACGGTTTTCTCTCTGATTCAGAACGCTAGTGAGAATCAGATATCAAGTATTAAGACATGGGTAGTGTGAGTTTGAACCCATTGTTCAAGAGTGAACCTTTTGGGTGTTACTACTACAACAACTACTACTACCCTGAGCAGAACAACACCATGTTGGAGAAGAGACTGGTATTCCTGAGAAGCTACCAGTTCTGTCGAAAGAAGAGTATGACAGAGAGAATCAAAGGGTCTTTGGTTCGTGCCAAGAAAATCGTGTGGCTAAGGCTCAGGTCTGCTTGCAAACTGAGGAGGTCTTTGATCTTCTTTTCCAGGTTCAAATGCGCTTTCTATTATCGCAGGAGAAGGTTTTTCCATCTTCTACACACCAACAACAACCGCAAAACCGAATCTTCCTCATGTTTATGGTAAATAAAAAAGAGAGAGAAACCACAACTCATCACACTCAGAGTCAGACACCTCTATTATTCTTTTGTTTCTGTTTTCTTGTTATTAATCAACCAGCTACGGTTTCTCAATGAGTTTGTGATGGCCATTTGAGATTGTTACACATATTGTTCATTAATCTCAACAAGTTTGGCTTTGCTTCTGTTTCTTTTCCTTGTTCAATCGTTTTGCTCGTAACCTCATGAATCATGCCTTCAACTTCTCTCCCTAGTGGCGTTTGCAGAAATAGAAATATGGAAACTGTTTCTTGTTTGTCCCACTTTAGGCGTATTTTCTGTAGCAGTGTGCAAGAAAATGAGCATAGAGATATCTACATGGTTAATTTAATCATGTTTAGTATTTCCACGTATGTTTTCATAGCTCACCAAAATTGAAGTGATTGATTAACCAAATTGGGTACAGAGAAAATGGTCAATTCAAAACCAGGATTTCATACATGTTATTAGAATTAGAAACTTCATCCCAATATTATAGTATAAATATGCACATACACACACCCCAATGAACGTAACATGATGTTCTTTGGGAAGTACTTCGAGATGCTAGGTGGTGTCCGGCAAAACTGCAAGAGGTGAGGGTTATGGTGGGGGACCCTTTGTTTGTTAAAGATATTGCAACTTGCAAGTTAAGTCTAAGGTTTGAGTTCCCTAGGATGGAACAAAGCACAAAAACCTACTTCGGAGTTCCAAGTTATAACTGTGGAGTCCCTTGGTTCAACACTGAACAGAGACTATTAAAATATTGTATTTCTAAGTAATCATTTATGACTTTTCCTGCTTAGAGATGATATCTATAAGAACTTGATAGAAACTCTAAATTCTTAAATTCGACAAAAAAAGGTATACAAATACGTTAGATAAATGACATTAAACTTGTTTATTTTCCCACTTTCTCATTTTAATGGCATGCATCTGCTATGAAAATAAAATGATCGGAAGTATCTTAACCTTTTGGTATTATTTCCATTACCTGAAGTTTGAAGGTGCTTCTTTGAAGACATTCATGTTCTTCACCTGTGTGATTCAATTGACTTCAAGATTCAGGGGGCAACAAATTTATTCATGAAGACGATGGGTTGTGTGAAAAGGGGGAAACACTCAACTGCAAAAGCTATTCGAATTTCTGGTCAATTTGTTCACTGTTCAATACCATGACTTCAAAACTTCTCCACCAAAAATAGCTGGCAAAGAATTTTTCGCGTGTCTGATTTATAGCATTGTAAGAAAATTCAAAAAAAGTGCTACACTTCTATGATACCAAGTAAAATATAAATATCCATTCTTTTAACCTTGAAAGTGATTCAATATTCATCATATTTTGTTATTCTGTTTTTTAAAGTAAATTATAATTTATTTATTTATTTACCCTTTGGATTTTAGCTTGAATTTATTTGGTTATATTTAATATAACATGTTGTGGTCTTTCACAAAACCACGTGACCATCTTCTAGTGGTGGAATTGAATCTATTAAACGTCACTCTCATACACACATTACTTAATCTATTTTTGGTGGCCAGTGTGAATCACTACGTTTCAAAACCATCTTCACATATCCATCCATCCATCCATCATATAAAAATGAAAAGAAAGTTGACAATTGCCCAAACAAATGGAGAAGAGTTAATGAAATGTGATGATGCATTTTCTTCCTTAACGGATAAGAATCCTTCTGGCTGCTTCTACTTGAAGAAAACTAAGCCTACCCTATAAACCTGCTTAAGAAAAAACACACAAAAATAGTTTTTTTTTATTAGTAATAACATTAGGTTAAGTCATCCTACACTTAAATATGATTTTAGGATAAGTTACCCTAAACCCTAAAAAAACTAACCTAAATAAACATTTTAGTTTCACGTACAAGTTTTTTTCAGTTTAATTATAATATTTTAACTACTGTTTTGAAAATCGATTAGATGGATTAATTTAACCTATTTAGAAATTGGTCGTATACTTCTAAATAATTAAATTATAATTAAAATAACACAATTAATATAAAATAAAAAAATTCAATCAAATTTTTTAATCAAATCAGTTGATAAAAAAATTAAAGATTAATATCTTTTAAATATATTTTAATTTTTTTATATTTCGTCAACTTTAAATAATAATTATATTATATATATTTTCATCTTATTTTAAATATTATTTATCTGATATATTTATATTTTTAATCGAAAGTTAGGATGTTCATGATTTTAGATATATTAATAGTTGTTTTTTTTAAGAGAGTCTGGATATTTTATTTTATTAGTCCAATTAAGCCAATCATAAATAATTGATAATTTTGAGTAATAATATAGAGATTTTTTTAAAATTAAAAAAATTATAGAATTTTACTTCATCACATTTCATTCCCAATTTTTTTAATATGTTTCTTATTTAATCTTTATTATATTTTTAAAAAATATATTGTTACTAATAAATTTATTATATAGTTAAATTCAATTGGATATCCCTTAAACTTTAATTGAACTTTTAAATTCTAATTTTTTTAATTTTACACTCAAATTTTCACCCGTTTCAAAAATATTGATTTCAACATTCAATAAAGTGAAAATAAATATATTAAATCTTATATAGACATTTCAAAATGTGAATTAAGGATTTATGAAGACACCTTATTTTAAACCATTCATCATTGATTTTACTCTTTTATTAGAAGTTTTCTTACTAAATTTTAAGAACCTTGTTTTCTCTCCTATTCTTTTTCTTTATTTACTCTATTTTGTTTTTTTATAAGTTTTTTAATGAAATAACTAAAAAAATTTAATTAACTTATAATATCAGAAGAAATTACTTCAAATAATTAATACTTTATTTAACCATTTTATTTTAATAATTTAATTCTCATATTGGTGATAATTTATTTAAAAATATATTTTCCAGTTAAATTTTTCAATAAAAAATACTGTTATGTGTTAGTAAACATTTTAAATTAATAAAAATCTCATTTTTTATTTTTGGTTAAAAATATTCCGCTACTTTTTTTACCTTTTCAATTTAGTTTCAGTTGTATTTTTAATGTTAATTTCGCTTCACATGAATTAATTTGGTTCCGTGAATTCCGTTAAATTGTTTAGTAAAAAATGCATTAAGTACATAACGCTGATAAATCTATATTATGGACCTATTTTGATTACATAAACATCAACATCATATAAATGTTATGTCAATTAGCATTGTTAGTTTCTACCACCAACTTAACAATATTGAAGCAAAGGATAATATTAATTTACTTGAAAAATTAAATAATAAATTAATATTGAAAAATAATAGCGAGGCAAAATTAAAAAAAATTAAAAAATAGCTTTTATTTTTTCCTCTTTTGAGACAAAGAATAGATATGGATACAATGCGGGCTACGCAGTATCTGGGCCCTGTGTAACCCATTGGGCTGTTTTCTAAAATTTAGAAATATTGTAAAATTAATTTATGGTTCCAATTGCAGGGAATCCAAATTCTGATGTTGAATAAATTTATATTTTTTAATCATAACTTTTTTTTTCTTTCACTATATGTCATTTAATATTTGAAGTGTTCAGATTTTTATTTTTGTTAACTCCTTCAAAAACTCATTTCTCATATTTTCATTTGGAAAATTGCTAATTGGAAAAAAAATTCGACTTTACTTGTAAAATGTTTAATCAATAATGGCAACAAACTTAAAAAATGATTTCTCAACGATATTACATTTCATAAGTTGACATAAATAAATAAATAAACAAATCAAATTAGGAATATAAATAAATAAACAAATCCAATTAGGAACCATAAACTTATTGTAAATTTTTCAATTAAATTAAAATATTTGATCAAATTGGACTATAATTTTTTTTTATCTTAGCCCTTAAGATTAAATTGGACTCAATATAATTATTATTTTAAAATATTTTAATTAGGACTAAATGCTAATTCTCAACAAGAAAACGAAAAAGAAAGTAAAAAAAATAAAAATAGAACAAATATGTTACTAAAATTTTATGTTACTAAAAAATATATTACTGAACATGGTTAGGGTTTGATTTAAAATTTTATGTATTGAAAAAACAAAAATTTATTTCTTTTAAAATATTACTGAACAATAAATAGAAACATAAATATTTTATCATTTGAAATCAAATTGTAATTTTTTTTAATTGACACCATATACATTGTTTTCATTTTATCATTAAAATATTTTTATTAATTAAAGAAATTTTATATTTTATAAAATTAAAGGTTTTCAATATGTTTACCTTAGTATTTTTATTTATTTGTATATTAGAAACAAGTAAGTAACATTTTTTTATATAAATATCTTAAAATAAAATTAATATAACAATAAGATTATAATTTTGTACCTATTCATTAAAATTTATAAAATGAAACAGAAAATCTTTGGCAAAATAATTTGTTATGAGACAAAATGATTTTAAACGAAAAAAATTCTTCTGTAAAAATTATCAAACAACATTTGGCTTACAAGAAGCTTTTAAATTAAAAAATTTAACAATAATTTTTATTTTTTTTTATTTAAACTCTTATTGTTAACTTTAATTTAAAAGTAATTTATAAGTTTAAAATAGGTCGGACCAAACAAATACTTGGTATTTCAAAAAAATTCTCTTTATTTTTGTTTTTAATTCTAAAAGAAAAGATAATTCAAGTTAAAAAATTTGTTTGAGTGTTCAATTTTCTCAATCTAAATATTTTTTATTTATTTTTTTCATTAATACTTTTAACAATAAAAATCATTATATTTTCCCTAAATCTGATAAATTCATAAAGTTATTTTAAATAGTATATTTGTATGATATAAATCAATAAAAATTCAAACTAAAAAAATTATCATAATTGAAAAAAAAACTTGTAAGTCATTATACTTCTATATAATATTTAAAAATTTAGACTTTTATGACAATGATTTTTTAAAATCACTATCAAATGCACTTTCTTAATCTTTGAATAGTTTATATATATATATATATATATATATATATATATATATATATATATATATATATATATATATATATACAGAGACTTTATTTTTATAAGATTAGGGAATAACAATAAGGTGAATGAATAACAGTGAATAGTAGATGTTATTTCTGCTATTACACGACAAGTCAGACCAAGAGTTCATTCATATGCTTGTTCCAGTAAACATCACAACCATACACTACAAATACATTCCATAGTAAGCGAATGATTGGTTTAGACTTTTATTTTTAACAGGGCCTCAATCATTATTACACAACATTCCCTTCCTCAGTGCTCACCAACTATGTTCTATTTTCCAATATTTAACTCACTACCTTACCGACAATGCAAGTGACTTGTAACCATCTGTATGTAGGACTGTCATCCCTTTTGAAAAAGAAGTTACCTGCTACTACTAACATTTCCTTGTTCTTATTCCTTTTGGCATCATAAACTTTTTTTCTCTACATTATTGTGCTTCATAGTTACCCTCTACATTAATGTATATAAAATTATTTGAGTCATTGATTATGCAGAGTTAACAAAAATCTACAGCTACAGCATTATACACTATATAGTCAATATAATTTTATGCAGCCCACTATGGCCAAAAATATTAGGCCAAAATGAGAAAAGGACCCATCATTATACTACAAACCAACACTCACTGATTTACATTATGGGAAGGAAATAAACTGTACATACTGCACACATAAAATAGTTAAAAATAGTCAAGTAACACAAATTACATCATACATTGAAATATTCCCACCTTGCATTCTGTTCTTTGGCAAGGAGAGACTTATATATGTTCTTATTGGAATACAGTGAGAAGATTCAGATTAGCATTGAAGCTACGCAGTAAAGGTGCCTTTGGAGGCAAACCCTGTAATAAATAGAACATAAGACTACTTCAGATTCACATGGGGTACTAAACACCGTCCAGACTTATGTTTTGCTTGAACCTTCTTCCCTTGTTTCTTTGCCAAACGCACTTGTCTTGGTGATGCCAAATTCTCCTCACACAATTCTGGCTCTTCCTTAATAGTCGAAAGCTTAGCCCTCAGAATCTCCTCCATGTCCTTCCTAGAGTCAGTTCGCAAGATTTTCCCACTTGTGCAAGGCACTGATCGCCATATTTTCCTGCATGCCCTCCTCATTTTTGCTTCTGATTTCAATCTTAACCAATACTCATATCCTCAAACAAATCAAACATTAACAAAACTTGATGATACCTTGAGTGACCTTATGACATGTCTGAGTTGTCATTTTTAGAGCTACCTCTTCTCTATATATAATTCTAAGAAAGGAAGAGGGGTAGATGTTTGTATCTAATGATTAAGGAAATTTCTGTTAATAATCAATCAGATTAGTTGGAAAGCTAGCAGCTGTTGAAAGGGGCCACAAAAAGTTTAGAGTGCCTAAAAAAGCAATAATGCTCTTTCCTTTACAACGATGTTTTAATCATAATGTGCTTATAGATTATAGTTTTTTCGCCAACCAAACTAGCATTCACTAGAAATCATGCTAGGGATTAAGTTCAGATTTCATTAATTATCTTTTGAGAGGTACTAATAACGGCACTTTTGTGTTCCAAGTCCAACTACAAATTTTCAAAATGAACTTGCACTAAAGCAAAAATTGTAGGCTAGGTATGCTACAATATTCCCAGTGCTAGGTTGTCAGTATCAATTGCTGTCGTGGCTCTATGCGGTTTTTTCATGAAGTTGGTTTAAACATTTGTGTTTGAATATTAAACAGCGCGAACAAAGACGAAATTGAAATGGCAAGGGTGGTAATCTGCCATAAAATCCTCTTATAAGATGTTACACAGTGTTGTTTAATAATTGTTCCACATTCTGTGTAGAAGATTGCCCCCAGTCACCTATACAGAATTGTCCCACATCGCTTTAGTGGCTAATTCGTTATACACGAAGCCCTTCATTTCTTCCCGAATAAATGCTACATTTTGTTCATTCAAAGATAGCCTATTTTTTACTGATTTAGATAATTTTTAAAATTTTTCTTCTCATTCAATCAACCTTTTAAGTTTCCATTTTGTTAGAATTTTGTGAATTAGCATTGTTTAATTATTTGAATAAAAGTTCTATTATTATGACATTAAAATGTAATATATTTTAATTCATAAATACTAGATAATTGGACTTATGATATAATTGTAACTTATTGTACCCTTACCTAATGCCTAAATAAGGGGTCACTTCTTTTATGATAATCATAACATATTTAGGGTCTAGGAGTATTTCTATAATTTTGTATTTGTGATTCAATTAAAGTAATATATATGCATAGATTTAGTCCCTATTTCATAACATGTTTTATAGTAATTCAACATATATAATTGTGAATAGTTTCTCTTTATATCTTCATAATGTATTGGTCCATTTTAGAGAAAAATTTGTATAAGAGATTAATATAGTGGAATTTTGTTAATAATTAATATTAATATTTAAAGGAATAATTAAAAATACATGGATGATAAACATATTTTTGTTTTAAATAAAATATAAAAAAATGATTTTAATACATGTTTTATAGTTATCATCAAAGATGAATCCTTTACATTTTATAAAAAAATATTTTTCAAAAATAAAATATCCTAAAAATTATTTTAATTGACAATACTAATTTGGTAGATAGCAATTTTTTATAGATTTGTGCATTTGAAACCGTTGCTTCCTGCACCGTGCCTATTTCTTTCTGCACCACCCCGTAACAAATCAAATAACAAAACTGTCCAATTGAGAAATTATTGTACTCAACTTTCCAAAATAATATAATTTTTTTATGTAACAATAAAATATCTGTAGTTTGAGAGTGTTGAAATGTTGGTCAGATATTGACCTAAGTACACTTGTGGTTTACGGAGAGACACGGATCCACCATTCATATATATATATATATATATATATATATATATATATATATATATATATATATATATATATATATATATATATATTTTATACTTCTTATGACTAAACACTAAAATTGACACCTTAAATGCATGCTCTAATTGATGAGGTAAAACTGTGTTTTTTTATATATATAACTTCATATTTATTATAATAATATATTAAAGTCAATTTATATATATGGTCTTATTATTTTTGAGATTTAGTTTATAATATTTTATTTTTTAAAAATATCTTAATAATATATATATATATATAAATTATTTTTAATTTTTATTTTTAAATCAAAATAAATTAAAAATATATATAATATATAGACAAATTTGATTTTATTTTTTATAATTAAATTAACTATTTTATCATTTTTAATATTATTATTTTTCATAAAGTTTGAATAAATTTTAACCTTATTTTTTTCATTTTCATCGTTTATGATCAAGTGTTTTTAATTTTTTTTTTATCAAACTTATGACTAATCAATTTTCATAATCGTCCTGATCATATATGTTTTTATCTCTCGATAAAAAAATTCATAAACAAATTTTTATGAATATTATTTTTGTGATTTTTCAATTAAGTACTTGACCAATATCACGTAACAAAACCATAATTTTAAATAATCTTATAATATAATAAAAAAATGAAAGACAATATTAAAAAACATAAAGCTATAATCAATTAGCAATAAAAAAAACGAAAACACATTAGTTTTACATTTCTTTATACAAACCTTATACTTATTATTATTATTATTGTTCTCACATTTTGCAAATATTAATGGAGTTTTTTCAAATTTTTTAAAAAAATTTATATATTATTTCAAAAATAATATTTGTTTACTATATAAATAAATTAAATACAAATACAAAATTTTAATCATAAAGTTTATCTTAAAAAATATACCACCAGTCATACCATCTCTACCAAATTTTTAAATTTCACAAGATTTTTTATATTAAAATAACGTTTTAAAATCTTCATTTAACACACATCTTAAAAGTACATGACATCATTCTTTCGAGAATCAAGGTGTGTATTCTTTAAAAAAATTGCAAAACAGAAAAAAAAATTACTCTTACATCATAAATTTCATTTATAAAAAGACCACGGATCATTAATTATACGATGGAAAAAGTAAGAGCATAATAATTAACAAATGACTTAATTTTGTAGTAATTGGTTACTATATACATGAACAATGTTAATTACATATTAGTACATTTTTAAGATATTATTATTGATTAAATTTATTTAATTTTTTAAAGTCTTACTTTTTCCTCAGTTTTATAATATTATAAAATTTGAATAGATTTGAATGAATGAAAATAAGTTATGAGTAGTTTTGTGTGTTAGATAGACCAATGATTTTGATTGTAAATTTGATTGGTTGGTGTTTTTCATCAAAATGAACACTTTTTTCTTGGTCAAAGTGGGAAAATTTTACCCTAGACATGCATTTGTGGATAGAAAAGGGTGCGTTTTTTTAAACAAATGGTGGCCACACGTTGTTTTGTAGTTGGACGAAAGGAAAAACAAAAACAAGAAACAGAAGAGGTTAAACTCTACGAAACGTTTTATTTTCCCAGCCACACATCTCTTTTGACTTTTTCTTCGTTAACTTTAACACTAAATAAGATTAAGGAAAAATCTCTCGCAATTAATTAACTAAGAATATAGATTCCTTGTAGTTTTGCCCAATAAATACAATAAATTATACTTTTTTGTAACCTGCACGTTATGTTCAATAAAACGATTTGTATTGAATTATACTTTTAATAAGACATGTTTATATATAGAGAGAGAATTAGAAATGCACGAATCAAAGTATAATAAAATATATGAGTTCAAAATAATTAATCTTACCAACTCTCAAATAATAAATATATAATAAGATTTTAATTCATATAAGCTTTTGAATAGATGAATATGTAACATAGGATACAAAACTTGAAGACTCTATTGATTTTTTTATTTTTCGCCAATGTTTATCTTTAATTAAGTCAATCGATGAATACTCCTACTTTCCATGTTCCAACAATTTTTGTTGAAAGTTTAAGTTTTAGGCGTAGGTTATATAAATAATTTAAACACTTTAACAACTAGAGCAAACTTTCCACTTTTTATATTAGATAATAAATTTGATCGATTGGGAAAAACAAAATAAAGTGGAAACAACTGTTTAGATTAAGAAATATAGAATGGAAAGGAAACTTATTTATATTAAGAGATATAGAGTAGAAAGAGAGAAAATATGAGGAACAAAATTTGTAATTGATTTGAAAGTATAAAATAAATTGAATAGAATACAAAAATATAAGGATAATATAAATTAAAAATAAAATATGGTTAAATATAAATTTTTAATTTTTAAATTTGAATATTATTTAAAAATTGTTTTTATTTTACTTAAATAATTAAGTAGAGATCATGTATAAATTTTTGGTTTACATGCAAATTGAAAAAAAAAAACGTATACTAGAAAAAAACTACATATTAAAATCATAAATGTAAATAATAAATTATTAATTTGTACTATAATATTAGTATATTTAAATACATTGTTTTTTTAAAGTATAATTCTAGTGTTAATAAATAATTAAATTATTGCTTTAATAATCAACGTACTTATCATAAATAATTATTTTTTAAGTTATATTTTTATAGATTGTACATTCTAATAATAATAATAATAAATATTTTATTTTTAAAATAATAACAATAATAATATTTGATTTTCATATTTATTATCTAAATCAAAACAATAGAATTTATATATAGATATAATTATTTATTCAATTAATAAAGGGGGATAACTATTTATTCCCTCCGTTTATATGTATAAAGTATTATTATTTTTATTGTTATTATTATTATTTTTTATTAACATTCTCATAATCTTAATATTAAAAAAACATTTAAATAACTTATTATTATTATTTTCTTTATAATAAATATAAATAAAAAATAAGAGTATAATTGGTAAAAAAGTAATTAATTAATAATGGTAGTTTTTTTATACATAAAATAAATTTTGGTGTATTTATGAGGAGAAATAATTAGACGAGGACAATAAAAATGGTGCAACATTTTAAGTTGACATGCAAATTTATTCAATTATGTATATTTTAAAATAATTGTGAGATTCACTATCCCACAATAAAAAACTTTTGCAACATTTTAACTTGACTTTCATTATAAATTATACTTCAAATTATATATGAGATCCACCATTTTACATCCACTTTAATCTCTTTATCCAAAACAAATTTATATTTCCAAGTTCATTCTCACACGTCCTCTTCTACACTAAACATCTTCATATTACCGCGAAAGGTTAAAGGTACAGAGAAAGTGGAAAATGAAAAATGACTATATAAGAGAAATAATAAAGATAGTATTTTCCATCTTCACTCCATTTTTTTTTTCACTCATATAAAAGGAAAATATTGAAAAGTAAAAGATAAATGTTATTTTACAATTTTTTAATACATAATTATTCTTTTTTTATATTATTATGAAATGATATTTAGCTAATGATTTTTTTATACTTGATATAACAATCACGTTCACCTATCTGAGTTATAGAATTAATAAGATGGGAGATTTTATTTTTATCCACATAAATAAGTATTGAATCCATTGGAATGTATGAAAGGGATGTTAAAGTGAGGATTATGTGATGTCTTTTTAAAAATATTTCATCTTTGGCTTACCAACAAAAGATATATAGGAGGACTCAAGTACAACTAAAAGATAAATTCTTTACAAAACATGAACTTTCTCAATCAACAAACAATCTTAAATATCCCGTGTGAGCATGCATTAGATATTTATTAATATGACTTTGAATACACATTCAATTAAATGAGTCTTTGTCAAACCCAAGTCTTTATCTCACTAGGTTTTATCAGAGCTTCATATACTAACTTCTCTTTTCACCCGGCATCAAAACTTAACCTAATTTGATAAAATAAATGAGAGACAAGCCAAGGACCATAATTCATGCCTAAAAAAAATGCCAATCCTTCACAACAGGAGTTCATTATTTCAACAACTTTATTTTCCATTTATTTTTTTATAATTTTAGGATAGAAAAGTGAAATAAAAGTAGAGTAGGTGCGGTTCGGAACATGCATTTTGTTGTTTTATGAATAAAAGAATAGCAGCATGTAAATGATATAATGAAAATAGTATATAAAAAGAATGATAAAAAAAAAGAGAGAACAAAATAAGAAGAAACCTTAAAGGGAAGGAAAATGACTAAATTTAGAAAAGTGGCGTGCAGGACCCTACAGTGTAAGATTACAGCGCTACACGGCATGGGCTCATTTGTTGGTTTATGTCAGTTATTGTTGTGATGATCCAAAGATGTGATTGTGAGTGAGGCAGTGACAGTGCCATGAATTCAAACCCAGAATATGGCATAGAATGGAAACTATCATTTCTTTATTTTTTCTTTATAGTCTTCCACACACTCACACGTTCACACCCCTCCCATTTTTTTCAGCTGAAGCATGACACAACTTTGAGGAGTGCACGTGACACCCATAACTCACTTTCTCGTTCATGCTATTATTACTACAAGTATTCTCTTCTCTCATCTCCAAATCCAAGGCATGGGACGGCTATCCAATCACAGTGAATTACCCCACAAATATTATTTAAAAAATAACCATTCGTCCTTTCACTTCCACACATTTCTCCACTCTGGCACTCCTTTTCATTAGGAATTTTATATGTATTTTTGTAGCATCTCAAATATCGAAGTTGTTGTAATTGGTTGAAGTTGAGAGATGGAGATGAATAATATTAGGGTAGAGTTAGGTTTAATTGGGAGTAAGATGAAATCCGGAACGGAAGGTGAGTGTTGAAAGGACGCGATGAAGTGAAAGAAGGGGCAATAGGCGGAGTAAAACCTCCCATCCATGATCCACAACTGTCCTTATTGTCTGTTTTAGGAACCAACAACAACGCCAAGCCCACTTGCTCATTTTACTTTACTTTTTATATCATAAATAAAAGCACTATTTCACGCCAAATCATGCTCAATCTAAACTCCTGTCCCCTCTAAAACCAAATCTAATTCTAGTTTCTCACAATTCTGTATTAAAATGATTTTTTCCTTGTAAAGATCAGTTAAATATATCGATAATGTAAAAATTTTAGGTAAACGACGAACCTTTGTTTGCAACTCCAACTTTCTACTGTTGATATCTATCTTTTCTAACAGTATTGAAATCGTATACCCACTCACCTGGTTCAATAGCTTTTAACACTGAAAAAAAGAAAGGGAAAACGATAGTGTTATTGTAAAATAATAAAATGTTCATCTTTGTTTATTGGCCACTCATAAATATCGGAAGCATTTAAATATTGAACGAATAATGATGATTTTGTTTAATATTTATTTTATTTTAATCTGAGTTCGTTCCCCAGTAACTCTCACATTCACATTCACATGGTGCTGGAAGTGGGTACTATAAAAAATGATATCTTTATGGCATGGCGGTCCCTGGTCACAGTTGTGGTGAGTTTGAAGAGGGAGTTGAGTTCCATGGAGAGGGAAGGGAGACATGCGTGTTGTTGCCCACACTTATTTTCTTTATTTTAACCCTTAACTTCTGTTCTCCTCATTGCTTCCTTCCTTTTCTTCTTCTCACTCTTTCCCTTTCAAGGTTCGTTTCCTTCCGCACTTTCCTTTTTCTCCACTCTCTATTCTCCTGATTTTATTTTTTACTTTTCTCCTCCTCTGTGCTATCCTGTTTTTTCTTCCCCCATATATGTTATCCTGCTGACTTTGCTCCCTTTAATGTTCGTGACGTGTGTCTGTTTTTTCAGCCCAATATGTTGTTGTTTTACTGGAATTTGTTTTGTCGGCTGTTAGTTGTTCATTGTATTGACGTACAGTATGATCAATTTTCTCCAAAATTAAGAATAATAGTGGCCAGTTTTATTCTATCAGCAAGCATGTACAGTTGGTGATTGGGTTGTTGTTGTTGTTCAGAATTTACATAGGCTCTAGAGAAGAGATGAACAATAATGATGTGTATCTATTCACCTGAGGTGCGGAGATTGTTGGTATTCTATCATTGGGTAATAGAATAAGTTAATTAGTAGTACGTTAGCCTTTGACTTTTATCGGACTGAAAAGGTGTTGGGAATCGTTCTTCTCTTGTTGAATTGTTAGATGAGTAGGAGCAGAGAGATTGACATTGATGGAGTATATTGGTAATAGATTTAACATGTTTTCAGAGGGTGTTGTATGATTCCGATTTACTTACTCGTCTTAAATGTACATTTGAAGTGCAGTTTGGAGTGAAAATGTCTTCCTCAAGGCCTAGCCAGTCGTCCAGCAATTCAGGGAGATCAAGACATAGCACTAGGGTTCTTGCTCAGACAACTGTAGATGCAAAGCTCCACGCAACTTTTGAGGAGTCTGGCAGTTCCTTTGACTACTCCAGTTCGGTGCGAGTCTCTGGTACAGCTGATGGAGTCAATCAACCAAGGTCTGATAAAGTTACAACAGCGTACCTCCATCACATACAGCGAGGCAAGTTGATTCAGCCTTTTGGATGCTTGTTGGGTTTAGATGAGAAAACATGTAAGGTCATTGCATACAGTGAGAACGCTCCTGAAATGCTGACTATGGTTAGTCATGCCGTCCCCAGTGTTGGTGACCACCCCGCCCTTGGCATTGGCACTGACATAAAAACTCTATTTACTGCACCAAGTGCTTCTGCATTGCAAAAGGCTCTAGGATTTGCAGAGGTTTCGCTTCTTAACCCCATCCTTGTTCATTGCAAGACCTCTGGGAAGCCCTTTTATGCGATTATTCATCGTGTTACTGGCAGTTTGATCATTGACTTCGAGCCTGTCAAGCCTTATGAAGTTCCCATGACTGCAGCTGGTGCCTTGCAGTCTTACAAGCTTGCTGCCAAAGCAATTACCCGGTTGCAATCTTTGCCTAGTGGGAGCATGGACAGATTATGTGATACAATGGTTCAAGAAGTTTTTGAACTCACAGGCTATGACAGGGTTATGGCTTATAAATTCCATGAGGATGACCATGGGGAGGTGATTGCTGAGATAACAAAGCCAGGCCTCGAGCCATATCTGGGTTTGCATTATCCAGCCACTGATATTCCCCAGGCTTCACGCTTTTTATTTATGAAGAACAAGGTCCGTATGATAGTTGATTGTCATGCAAAAAACGTGAAGGTTCTTCAAGATGAAAAACTCCCATTTGATTTGACTTTGTGTGGTTCCACCTTAAGGGCTCCTCATAGTTGTCATGCTCAATACATGGCAAACATGGATTCAATTGCTTCCTTGGTTATGGCAGTTGTAGTCAATGACAACGAAGAAGATGGGGACGCTGATGCTGTTCAGCCACAAAAGAGGAAGAGACTTTGGGGTTTGGTAGTTTGCCATAACACTACTCCCAGGTTTGTTCCCTTTCCTCTAAGGTATGCTTGTGAATTTCTGGCTCAAGTATTTGCCATCCATGTGAACAAAGAAATAGAGTTAGAGTATCAGATTATTGAGAAGAATATCCTGCGCACACAGACACTCTTGTGTGATATGTTGATGCGAGATGCACCCCTTGGAATTGTATCACAGAGCCCTAATATAATGGATTTAGTGAAATGTGATGGAGCTGCCCTCTTATATAAGAACAAGGTATGGAGGTTGGGAGTGACACCAAGTGAATCCCAGATAAGAGAGATAGCTTTGTGGTTGTCTGAGTACCACATGGATTCCACCGGCTTGAGTACGGATAGCTTGTCTGATGCAGGCTTCCCATCGGCTCTTTCTCTTGGTGATATTGTGTGTGGAATGGCAGCTGTCAGAATAACTGCAAAAGACGTAGTATTTTGGTTTCGGTCGCACACCGCTGCTGAAATCCGATGGGGTGGTGCAAAGCATGAAGCTGGAGAAAAAGATGATGGTAGGAGGATGCATCCAAGATCGTCATTCAAAGCTTTCCTTCAAGTCGTGAAGGCAAGGAGCTTGCCGTGGAAGGACTATGAAATGGATGCTATTCATTCCTTGCAGTTAATACTGAGAAATGCATTCAAAGATAATGAGAGTACAGATTTACAGACAAATGCAATTAATACAAAACTAAGTGATTTGAAGATCGAAGGGATGCAAGAACTGGAAGCAGTTACAAGCGAGATGGTTAGGTTGATTGAAACAGCAACAGTGCCTATTTTGGCGGTTGATGTCGATGGGCTGGTCAACGGGTGGAACATAAAAATTGCTGAGTTGACAGGTCTTCCAGTTGGTGAAGCTATTGGAAAGCATTTACTCACACTTGTTGAGGATTCTTCAACTGATAGAGTCAAGAAGATGCTTGAGTTGGCACTGCTAGGTATGTCTTTCTCCATCTTATCCTTGTCTATACGCTTTTGTTTTCTTCATTTTTCAAGCCTTATCATCCATTACGAAAGCTTAGAAAACGAGTTATTGTGTGTCTTTTGTAGCTCTGAGCATATCATGTTCCCTAAAGCCTCCCATGAATGTTGCATTGACGAATAATTCTTAGAAGAAAAGTGTCTTGTTGACAGTTTCATTCAGTTTTGTGTCCTTGCAACACTTGGGAGGAAATTGAAACACCCCAGGATTTCTGTGGTCATTTTATTTTGGGGGCTCGTTGGGAGGAATTGATTCTTTTAACCTGCTTTGCATATTTCTAATTTGTTGCTTTGTTCTGTTAATTAGGTGAAGAAGAGAAGAATGTTCAATTTGATATCAAATCATTCGTGACTAAGATGGATTCTGGTCCTATTAGTTTAGTAGTAAACGCTTGTGCTAGCAGGGATCTTCGAGATAATGTTGTTGGTGTTTGCTTTGTGGCCCATGATATAACTGCTCAGAAGAATGTCATGGACAAATTCACCCGTATTGAAGGTGATTACAAGGCAATTGTACAGAACCCAAATCCACTAATCCCCCCTATATTTGGCACAGATGAATTTGGCTGGTGTTGTGAGTGGAATCCAGCTATGTCAAAGTTAACTGGATGGAAGCGAGAGCAGGTGATGGATAAAATGCTTTTGGGAGAGGTTTTTGGCACCCAGATGGCTTGTTGTCGTTTAAAGAATCAAGAAGCTTTTGTTAATTTTGGCATTGTACTTAATAAAGCGATGACTGGTTCAGAAACAGAGAAGGTTGCTTTTGGTTTCTTTGCTAGGAATGGCAAGTATGTAGAATGCCTACTGTCTGTGAGTAAGAAGTTGGACGTAGAGGGCCTAGTTACAGGTGTCTTCTGCTTCTTACAGCTAGCTAGCCCAGAACTCCAGCAAGCATTACATATTCAGCGCCTATCTGAGCAAACTGCCTTGAAGAGATTGAATGCATTAACTTACATGAAACGGCAGATAAGGAGTCCTTTATGTGGAATTATATTTTCCCGGAAAATGTTGGAGGGTACTGAACTGGGAACAGAACAGAAACAACTTTTGCATACTAGTGCTCAATGCCAGCGGCAACTTAGCAAAATTCTTGATGACTCAGATCTTGACAGCATCTTAGACGGGTATGATATGTGAATGTTGTTATTTTTGCCCCTTATTTACAAATTCGTGTAGTGTGAAGATTTTATCAGTTGGAGCTCCTCCTATTAAAGCAAATAAGTTCCTATTTGAAGCCTCATTGAAACTCAAGATTAGATAATTAATCTCATTCGTGGAAATAAACTCTCAAAAAATTTTACCAGTATAACACAACTGATATTGGGTGTTTGTTGATATCATGTTTTGTCGATCTCATAGTTCTTGTTACGTAGTTTTGTCATTTTTTGTTAGGGTGTTACTTATATATGGAATATCCAATAATTAGCATCTTAAAAGAAGGCATCAAAGGTGGATACTTACTTTTCATTCACACTGTGCTTTCAAAGTCAATATGTACTGCTAGATTAGTTTGTGTGGAAAAATTTATGAACACACAAACACGACAAAAAAGAGACAGTTTCTCTCATTTATTTGTCTGTCATCTTCCATAACAGTTTTATAACCCTTCTCTTCCTTATGTTTAACAGTTACTTGGATCTTGAGATGGCTGAATTTACTCTACATGAAGTAATGGTTGCCTCCCTAAGTCAAGTCATGACAAAAAGTAACGGAAAGAGTGTCCGAATAGTCAATGATGTTGCAGAACAAATCGTAATGGAAACTTTATACGGTGATAGTCTTCGGCTTCAGCAGGTCTTGGCTGACTTCTTACTTATTTCCATCAATTTCACACCAAATGGAGGTCAGGTTGCTGTAGCAGGCTCTCTAACGAAAGAACAGTTAGGGAAATCCGTCCATCTTGTTAAGTTAGAGCTCAGGTAACTGTTCCATGCCTAGCCATTTGAAATTCATTCATTTGATTTATCTGAATCTGCTATCTGTATTAATATATGGTGTATGTGATGTATATGCCAGGAGAAAACAACGTGACATGAACTAATGCATGATTAACATTAAGAATTTGCATTATAACCTTGACATCATTTGCATTACAACATAAGGAACTAATTAGTGTTTATTTTTGGTGTTTATGTAGCATAACACATGGTGGGAGTGGGGTGCCAGAAGCATTACTAAACCAGATGTTTGGAAATAATGGACTAGAATCGGAGGAGGGTATGAGTCTATTGATCAGCAGAAAGCTGCTGAAGCTCATGAATGGAGATGTTCGCTATCTTAGAGAAGCAGGCAAATCAGCTTTTATCCTCTCTGCTGAACTTGCTGCAGCCCATAATTTGAAAGCTTAAAATTTTGGAAAAAGAATAAGATGATGCAACACAATCTGTTTTGTACATCATAAAGAGGAAGGAGCTAAAAATTAGTTGCATCCAATGTAACTCTAATTTGTTTCACGTTTCTTTAACTACTTCTTGTAACGCCCGTTGTAGATAATGTATTATTAATCTTATTCCCATTCCTTGACCTATTCTGAGTCCAGCTTTTCCTTATTTATTCCTTCAGCAAACAACAATCATCATGAATCATTTGTTGCAAACTGAAACGTTGGTGTCCTGCTTCTTATCTCTACTTTTTAGCCATGGTTTTCTTCCTAACTTCTTTTCTGCATTCTGCCGCATAAGTTGTCTTAAATATATTGGTCTGCACATTTATTATATGTTTCTATTTGTGGATACAGTTTTATTTCTCTGCTAGTTATGTTTCTTTTATGTAGTTAGCACATAAATAGGAGAAATGAGCTTAAGATTCTGAAAAGCAGACTTGGTAGGGCATGTATGTCTGTAGCTCCAAAAAGGTGCAGGACCTTAGGAATTAATAGTGCATTGATAAACACCATTAGCAGAAGATGAAGAAGATTGAGATTGTTGAAACAAGGCAAGTAAAGCTTGACATTGCTCCTTCGAGAAACAAACGGAGAAAAAGATTTGTTCTCCTCTTTGAGGGAAGAAGAAGAAGATGCAAGTGAGGATTCTGTTTTAACAGCGTTAGCAGGAGGTTTGGACGAAGTAGTAGTGAACTTGGAGTTAGTTTTATAACTAGGAGGAAGTCCATGCTTAATCTAATAATTATCGGATGTATGATTTGGCATTTACAATTATCACATAATTTAGAATTTCTACCAGGATTTTTACTAAATCTACCTCCTCCATGAGTACTAGAAAAACTTTCTCAAACAGAACCATTGAATTTGGAAGAACTGTCTTGATAATTAGTATTTACAGTAATTTATTGAGAAACAAGAGAATGAGAGTCACTAAACTCTCTTTCTTGCTATAGAATAAGAGAGAATTTACGAACAAGAAAAGACATAGATCCATAAACATAACTTTGAGAACTACAATGACTTTAATATTTATTCATAGATCTTCATCTTTCTATTTCTATTCTTTTTTCTACTTACTCAGATAGTCAGTCTATAATTCAGATTGTCAAAACTCCTATATTTCATAAAAGAACCAAATATATGGGGATAGACTGTCACATAATTTGGATCTTATCAGATTAATTTGGATCAAGATTTAAGAAGAACTTATCAGATTAATGTATATTCCTTCTTCTAAACATTTGGTTGATGCGTTTACTAAATCACTTTACCTGTTGCTTTCAAGATTGTTGTATCCAAGATGAATCTTTTCACCATCCATGACCCACATTGAGAGGGGTATTAGAATAATGAATGAATTATTTTAATTTATTTTTCGTTTAGATCATTCCTTACTCTATTAATTTTTTTGTTTGTTGCCAGTTTATCTCCTGTTTATAAACCAAATATTTCTAAATATTTGAGTAATGTTGAATGAATCAATTTTCTTTGATAAGTTTAATTTTGTTTCTTTTCTTTCTTCTATTCCCTAACACACTGTAAATGATTCACACTGGGATCGATGACCAACAAAATCTTAAATCCTAGCCTTCATATGTAATAGCAATTGTGTTCATTGAGATTTCTATAACTATAATAAAATTTAGAAAAATGCTAAATCTTACAAACTTGCAAGTGAATACTAAAAACATAGAAGATATTGCGTTTTTCAGTCTGGTTTCAAGTGTAAATAAGATACTTCTCGTTTCCTATTAAAGAAAAAAATCATATTTGATACTAATAATACTAAATGTGCAGAAAAACAAATTATATAAATGTTATGAGATATATTAGTTTTTAATTTGAGCTTTGGAAATAAACTTTAAAAAACGAAGAATAAAATTACTTGAAACTAAAAATGGAAAAGTATGATCTATTAACATTTCTAAATTTAAATATTTGAAATCAATAATATAAAATCATACAAAAAAAAGTAAGTCACGTGTAGGATATAAAATTAAAATGAATGCGTATTATAGAAGAAAATATATGAACAAAATAATTGTATGCATAGAGTAATTGATGTATCAAGGATTGAAAAGAATATAGAAAAAATTAGTTGAAATATTTTGGACATAAATAAAGTAACTTGAGCTTCAACCAAGAATAACATTAATAAATTACATGGTTTTAAGTTTTATGGAAAAGAAAATAAGTTACTAAGGGATCTCATATATAATATATATATATATATATATATATATATATATATAATTACTTAAATGAAAATAAACTTAATATTTTTTCTCATCTTTTAAAGAATAATAAAAATCTTTTAATTCTTAATTTAAATAAAAGAAAATAAATTACTATTTCTGACAATGTCCCCGCATTAAATATTTTACGGTAAAAGTCCACCAAAAAATAGGAGATTTGAAATTTGTAATATTTTGACTAGTGTTGCCAAAACTAGGTGCTGAAATGAAAATGATGTGCTTATGAAAAGATTTCATGGGCCAAGCCTTTGAAAACCTGGAGTAACGGGCTTAGGTTCAAAAACTCCCACATGGAAATAAGAAAGGAAAATAAAGTCAAAATTGGAACGTGAAAAAGTGAAGAGGGAAGAAGATAAAAACCAAGTTTGCTTTAACACCTTAACCTAGACGACCCTGTTAAGGAGCCAGCAACAAAGTTGTGTGTCGTGTCTCTCTAGTGTTATGCTTGCGGAGCATGGACATCAAAACCTTTGCTTTCGCCGCATCTTCTCCGCCGTTACCGGTTATCGCCGCCGCTAAGCTCGCCGGAATATCTCCCTCGATTGATACCTCTCTCTCTGCTGACTCAGCCCCTACATTTATCTTCTCTGATGGGTACATTTCCGATCTCTTCTCTATATGTTTATTTCTCAGTGTAACAACTAGCAGCAGTGATTAAATGCTTCAATATCAAGAGTCAGCAACATCGTATTTTTCGTTGCGTTGAAGTTCGTTTACAATCCTAGATGACTGCCAATTATTATTATTATTATTATTATTATTTTTTAAATGAATTTTTAAGTCTCCCTTTCGTGTAAGATCTCGACAATTTTGAAGCCATGCTAAACATGTAATACGTTTATGATGTAGTGTGATTTGGGTTTTTAGTTTAATATTTACATGACTTTCTTTTCCGTATGGTTACCCTTGTAAATGGATTATGGCAACGTTCAATTTGGTTTCTGTCTCTATTGTACTATAATACCTCTAAATTAGAGGGAAAAAAAAGGGCTTATGTTATGGCTTGATATTTATTCCTATTCTCCTACAAGCACTGCAACCCTTTCTACTTTCTATTGTTAGTTGATGAGTGCATTTACTTTGCAGGCTAAAGTTGCAAGGAGCATATGCTCTTCTACGTTATATTGGGCGGGTTGCCAGTCTCCCCAATTTCTATGGGCAAAATGCATTTGAATCTAGCCAGGTGATTTTCTCTGTGTAAAATAATATAAAATGCATAGAGTCCTAAAAAGATGTTTTAGTAAAAATGGAAGGATGAATTTTTTTCTTGACAGACATATAATGTTGCTTTAGATTAATATCTTGAATTATTTTTTCAAATGGTTCTTTTGTGCGATATCTTTTTAGTTGTGAACTCACTGTCACCTTTTTGCCTCATTTCCCTTTTGTTTTTTCAGATTGATGAATGGCTGGAGTATGCTCCTATCCTCTCATCAGGCCCTGCTTTTGAGAATGCATGCAAATATATAGATGAGTATTTGGAGAAGCGTACATTTTTGGTTGGTTATTCTTTATCTATTGCAGACATAGCAATCTGGGCAGGTCTTGCAGGTAAAGGTTTTTTATGTTCTATTGTCTTGGGGTACTGCTAGGTCATTTTTTATACAACGTGCCTATGGAAGAGAAAATCATTGTGTTTATGATTGCACTTTGAGGTTCTGGCTTTGTTGTATCCATGCAGCAAATTAGGCATATCAATCAATGCATATTGTGGCTGATAATTTTACATAATACTGTGGCAACGTGTAGCAAACAAAAGATCTCTGCCACTTTCTATTTTTATCATGTTAGCTTGGGAGCCAATAGATTCTTCAGCCTTTGTTATGCATATGATGATGGCCTGTGTTATTATATACACAATTCAAATAGATTATATGTGTGCTATTGTTTTTCAGGTTCTGGAAAGAGATGGGAAAGTCTAAGGAAGTCAAAGAAATATACAAATCTTGTACGGTGGTTCAATTCAATAGTGTCAGAATATGGTACTGCCTTGAATGAAGTCACATCAACATATGTTGGCAAAAAAGGGTTGGGAGAGCCTATAGCAAACAAGTCAAAAGACCAGTCAGTAATCACTGATAGAGTGAAGAATGTGAATGGGGATGTATCTGAGAACATCAAAGGTGGGAGCAAACCTTCAGTTGAAATAGATCTTCCAGATGCTGAAGTTGGAAAAGTTCGCTTACGATTTGCGCCTGAACCAAGTGGCTATCTTCATATTGGACACTCAAAAGCAGCCCTGTTAAACAAATATTTTGCTGAGAGATACCAAGGCCAGGTTATTGTGCGCTTTGATGATACCAATCCTGCCAAAGAAAGCAATGAATTTGTGGACAACCTGGTGAAAGATATTGAAACATTGGGTATTAAATATGAAGAAATTACATATACATCAGATTACTTCCCTGAGTTGATGGAAATGGCTGAAAAATTAATTGTCCAGGGTAAAGCATATGTTGATGACACTCCACGTGAACAAATGCAAAAAGAGAGAATGGATGGCATAGAATCTAAATGTAGAAATAATAGTGTAGAGGAGAACTTAAAATTGTGGAAGGAAATGATTGCAGGAACAGAGAGGGGCTTGCAATGTTGTGTCCGCGGCAAGTTGGATATGCAGGACCCAAACAAATCACTTCGAGATCCTGTTTATTATCGTTGCAATCCAATGCCTCATCATAGAATTGGATCCAAGTATAAAGTATATCCA